CATTCAGCACCTAATGCATTAAAAAAAGCCTTAATACTCCTTGGAAGAAATGAGCCCCTGATAGGAAGTCTAAAAAGCAGAAGTCAGGTTGAATCCTAAAATTCACACAGCACCAGTTCCAGTTAGTGCTATATCATAAGATGCAGGATGATCATCCCTCCTGAACTGGCACAAGGAATACAGAAATTAGCCAAGTGATAGTGACTTAAAATTGATTTTTTCAAACTGGTAGTGGAGATAAAGTAAAGGAAGTTGGTAAATTCCAACATTTTTTCAAATAAATAAATGCCATATTTCTAGTATGTTTGATGAAAAAATAACCAATTCTTTACTACGGCCAAATTAATAATACAGGCTTTGTATTTTCTCACTGAGAAACATTTTGTCCACCATAAAACGTCCGACTTCAATAATGGTGTTTTCAAATCCTTCTAGATTCTATGTTGTATGGCTTGGCAATGTCCTTTCCTAAGGACAAAAAAGACGACACCAGGTGAAATTATAAACAAAAACTGGCACTTGTATGGATACCACAACTTGTCTGAAAAGAAAATAAACATATTATATGATAGCAGGTACAGTACCTACTGTATACAGTTACAAAATCTTTCTATTACATTCATGCAAAAGCTACGACTCAAAGTCTTAAAAACACAGAAAAGTCTTCTGGATTCTTTACTGTAATCTTACCTTTTAGTTACTTAACCTCCCTGTGTGTGAAAGGAGAAGCAAAAATGTTTTATAAAAACAAATTATTTTAAAAAAGGGCGGAGTGGTGGCTCTGCGGCTAAGGACCTGCTCCTGTGGCTGGAAGGTTGCCGGTTCAAATCCCGCGGCTGGCAGGGGAATCCTACTCCGTTTGGCTCCTTAGCAAGACCCTTAACCCCAACTGCTCCAGGGGCACTGTACAATGGCTGACCCTGCGCTCTGACCCCCAGCTTCTCTCTCTCTATCTGTGTGTCTAAGTGTCTCATGGAGAGCAAGCTGGGGTATGCGAAAAGACAAATCCCTAATGCAAGAAATTGTATAGGGCTAATAAAGTGATCTTATCTTAAATTTAAAGTGTTGAGAATAAAAGTGTTTTTATACCTCTCTCTGGAATTCTAAAGCAAAACTTCTACATTAAAATTAAGAAAAAATGAGAGAAGCCATAATGAGTTTTTTAGTTTTCTTTCTTTTCAGGACTACAGCACTCTTGCACTTAGCTCCAATACAGCCTAAATACAGAATCTTACCAATTAATATAAAACATGGAATATTACAAATAATGAAAAGATAAAGTCATATTCAAAAGACAAAGAGAAAGACCCCATGACAACATGGGAACAACCTAGAGCTGTTCCCCTTTATAAACTAAAGAGCTACAATATCATACATGTAGGCCTATGCCTTTAACATTCATTTGTGTTATTTACCTCATTTTCATATGCTAAATTAGTGTTCTACCTAAAGAAATTCCTAAAATCCTGTCTTCCACAATCTGCACTGGGACAGTGTCTAGTACAACCATCATGGACATTGAGTGAGATCGGATGGTGTCAGTACCAGAGATGTAGTGATGGGAGGTCTGTGCTGAGCTACTCTGTTGCTTAAGAGTAAGGCTCAGGCTTCCCCTGAGGGTGCACCACCACTCCCCAACAGGAAGTGGTAACCATGTCTCTACTGCACTTACACAGCTCTACTCAGAATTACAAAACCGCTGCGGTTCACTCACCTTTGTCTTTTTTTTTGTTTGGTGCTTCCTTCTTCTTGACAAAAATAATTAGTAAGCTACTTCTTACAGACTGGAACTATTAAAATCTATGTCTATAAAATCTGTCTGGAGTGAAACACCCAGTGGCACATTGTAAGGACCAGAAAGCTGTCACTTCATAAAACCAGAAAATCCAAACTATGTACATCACACTCATAATTCTGTTGCAAAGTTCACTAGCCATGCTTCTCTTTAGACTTTATAAGCATTGAATTAAATAAACGTGACCTCCAGTAGAACACTACTTCAGTAGTTTTTTATATTAACTTACTGAGAAGTGTGATTTCCTAGTTATGAAATCAATTTATGCGAAAAGATACCTCCCTGGCTACAATAAGTATTCTAACATTACTGAGCACTGGTACAGAAAAGGTGAAGGCTAATTATGTCTGAATACTTGCACATTCTGTCACATCGAGTAGTAAAGCACTTGATAGCAGCAAGACAATTCCTTCCTGGCTTGTAATTGTCACACATTCTCAAAAGGTATCAGAAACACAACAAGACTGATGAGAGACAAAAAAAATTAAACCTTTATGTCTAAGAACTGAATCTATTCTGGTCCTTAAACTCATCCCTAAAATGACTACAACAAATTCAGAATATACATTTTCTTTTACTTTAATTGCCTTTATAAGATAAAACCTTAATAAAACTGGAGACGACAGTTGTTTTTTGGAGGCGATAGGTTTAAGTAACATTTAATACAAAAGTAATCCATTACCATTTCCCAACTCTGTTGGTTTTCTCATCAAGACACCCCCCTTTCAACAATGGCCAACTTTGAAAGGCCTTGTTTCCAACATCTTTGTCTTCTGCTTCAGTTGACACTGGCTGAAGAGAGCTGTCAGGACTCCTCTAAGGACGATTATCCTGCTGTTAACTACAACAAATCAGTCAGCAGATACAGGTGCTAATCCATTCCAAGATTATCACTGGTATAAATTACTGTTGCAGTTCTCTGCATACTAGAGGTAAAACAGCTCATAAATCCATAATAAAAAAAAACACGGAACTAAACAATTTAGTTGATCTAAAAAATAAAAACTACTTCCTTAATTCATAACACTTAAATTTAATTCTGTGGAATCCTCAGAGAGACAGTGCAAATACTACATTTCAAAAGTAAAGACAATATGAGAGAATAATTTATGCAGAATAGTACTGGCTGACCATTCCTGATAGTAATTTGTATAAGGAAAAGTTAGTTATTAGGTATTATATTTAATAATAAGCCAAAACGGTAAACCTTGAACCCATAAAACAGAAAGACAAAGTTCCTTCAGACTCTACTTGGATGCTGATAGATCTATAAACAGTGCAAACAGGTCACAGTTAACCAGGAAAACCCCTCACAGTGTAAATTACATTAAAACTGCTGTTATCCAACATGTGTAAGCAAAAAATATTATGACCTCACTCAACACAAAGGTCCAGGCTTAGGGTCAGTGACACCCAGCTGTGAAGTGAACATTCAAATCTTAACCAAGGCAGGGTTTTATAACATAGTACAGTAAAACATTTTATTAAGTAGGTGATTTAAGGAACAAACCTTGCTAATTTAGCTTTTTGCGCATTTCTAGAAATGTGATGTAACACCCAAAGAAAACTAAAAAATAAGTACTTGAACATCCCCCTTCAAGCATCAAGTACAAGAAGGACATCCGAAATCGCCATAATTAAAGCAGTGTGACAGAGTGCCTCATTAACAGATCACCATTTGTTGAGCTGCAATGTGCTTTTCACTTTCAGTTTGACGAGAGCAGACCCAAACCACAGTCATGGCTGGAGAGAGGCAGTGTCATTGACACTGAGAAACAGCACTTACACTGAGCTCTACTTACTGACACTGTGCAAACGGATGAGGAGCTGGCAAAGCATGGCATGGGTAAACAGCCTAGGCACCGATTATTTCCTTTACCATTTAACATTATATAATAAAATATTACCCCTGACTTGACTGATCAGATGCTGACAGTTTTACCCTTATAAGTGTGTGAGGTAGAACAGTGGAGACAGTTTGTTTTCACTATAAAGGCGTTAAAGTGAGACTGCACAGCTGAACCGGGTCATTCTGACAAGTGTATCATGTAGGTGCACTAAGCTACTGAAGAGGAGATCCTTCTCAGCCAAGGAGCTGTAAATTCCATCATCACTTGAGCTCCCTGGAAAAGGTTTACTTTTCTAGAAACCTATTGACATATTAATAATTGCCATGAAGTCACAGAAGCCTTTTCTGATCTATATTAGAATGGTAATGAAATGAAAGCGCCATATTAGAGTGACTTTTCACTCTTTCATTGAGAGAGAGCATAGCATGTTCGACAGGGTCATCTATTCACCAGTGCCAGCCAGTATGTATTTTTCTTTTTAATAAGGTCAAAATGACCTAAATCTTAAATTAACTGTCATACGAGGACACACTTATATATATATGGAATACACAGTTATAATGTATCCAACTTTTTAAAATTAATTTTACATTTACTTTACGCATCTGGTGCCTTTATATAATGCAGTCTAATCCAAATTAATCGAGCCGTCTTCGTAACAGCACTGCATCCGAGACTTATTAACGTGATGCCAAGATCTCACACTTCGTCTCGTTAAAGCTGGTGTCCATGTCTTTCAACAGAGTACAGTCTTTCATTTACCTGTCTCTTAGCAGACGTATTAATGTCTAATATCAAACGCAGAAAGAATCGCTCGTTTTTATCTGAGATGGTATTTTTGTGAATCCACCTACCATTATCTAATTCTATTTGCATGGTTTTAGGTAGAAATGATGGCTCAAATAACCAGACAATATGTTAAATTGCATAAAGACTTCATTGTACACACCCCTCAACAAAATTAAATTAAAAGACGCGTATTTTACTATGACAGTCATCACATTTATGCTGAAATGCCTTAGCATTAGTTTTACCCACCGGTCCTTTCACCACGACAGGACGTTAATACATACATCATATGTAAGCAATCAGCTTAAACGTGACTGTCAACAAATGCCCACAGAAGCTTACTTTTAAAGGTTAAATATACAAAGTACTAAAACATCATATTTAAAATGCATTTACAGGCGCTTCGTAAACCACCATGCTGTCTTATCTTGCAGCAGCGCTCACATATGTTTTCTATTTATAAATCTTGAACAAAGATGTGCAATACGACACTGAATTTCCCAGGTTCGCTTGGTATAACACTTAACGTATATTACAGATGACACAAAACTGTAAAATGCACCTACCTACAATTTCTAGTGCTCGAAGTCTTCTATCCCCTTCCCTTTTTATCTCCGCAGTTTCGCTCTTCGCTGCGTTTCTCAGCCTCTCGCGCAAAACTGGACTCCTGCTTCCAGCACCCTCCTGACGTCAGCATTTCGGCGGAGATGGGTGGGGTTACATCGCCAGAACGAGTGGACTAACTAATCGCTGAGCACGTCGTGCAGCTCAGGTAACAACAGTTGCGCCGTGTGATTGGTAGATGGGCTTTAGAATTTTAATGGCGCATTCTTGTACAGGGTGTATTGAGCCCCAAAATATCAAATTTAGCTTCGCGTAGTGCTCAGTGAAAGTTTGCTATGAACGCTGTACGTACAGGTTTCAGAGGAGGTTGAATAACAGCGTCCAAAAAAGACTTAAGTCAACATCAGGCTTAAGTGATGTGAAAACTCTTGAAAGAATGAATTTCACTCATCACTCATTTATTTTTTAAAAAACATGGAAACCTCAAAAACGTCTTGGCATAGTTGTCGAGCACCAATGTATAATTTATGTTAATATTTTACCTAACAAATGTTACAAAGTATTAGTTTAACAATCTAAAAATAACATTTTCATATTTTAAACAGAATAAATGACATTCGATTTGTATAGACTGATTTACCTGTTTCAGGACTTTATGTGCTCAGTTAAAGAGTGTTCGGCATCCCTGTTTTTCAGTTTAAATATCTCAAATATGTTTTTATCTTTTCATTTCCCTTGGCGGATTTGCTTCTGGGTATGAGCTGGGTAAATCCACTGTTCCACAAGGATCGATACTAGGCTCTCTGCTATTCAGAACTGGCATGGTTCCATCTGGGTCAAATAAACTCAAATGGTCTGAAAGATCAATTCTCTGTGGATGATATTCATCTATGGCCATACTAAACGATGCAGATGTTTCGGTTCTCTGAAGTCATGATAACAGGTTCCTTCCATAAAATCTACGTAAAATCGATACTGCGGATTCTTACTTTTGAATTGGAGTGGCTTTTGAATCTGATGTAAAGAATATAACATTCTTCCAGACCATTTTCAGCTATCTTTAAACTATTTTAATTTTTTTAATAGTTTGTATTTTAAAGAGTGAGAATTGTTTTCTACTTTATTTCTAATCAAGGTCAAGACAGGTTTGAGTGTGTTATTTAAACATAACTGGGTCTTAAATACCAAACGAGCTTGCAAACGTTCTCATTTCAAATCAATGTTACCATCTAGCGGTAAGAAACGAGAATGAGTTTTGTAATTGATTTGAACATGATCGAAACGTTTTCAACTCAACTTGAAGTGTCATGTGAATCCATTTATATTGTAACGCCCTCGCCTGGTGGTGAGGAGGAAGCGCCCTTAGGCGCTCGTAGTACCGCTGGGCATGCTGGGGGTGGTAGCCGGGAAGAGTCTGAGGGTCAGCACGATGACCAGCGGCTGACCAGCGGCTGACCCTACCTGTGTAAATAATGTCCTAGTAATTCTAGTGCCCTGTGTAGTCCTGTAAAAGTAGAGTGTGTTGTTAGGTAATTACCACCCTAAATGTGTGTCCGTGTTCGTCAGTCTCCTCATGTGTGTGTAGATCCTGTGTTTGGTTTTTGTGTGGTTGTTAAATAAAGTCAGTGCTTGGTTAATCGCGTCTCCACTGTTCTTTAGTTCTGAAAATGAACCTGCAAACGCTACAATATGTACAAAGATGCGAGGAGCAAGGCAGATGCAGGCACAAGATAAGTCTATTGAGTTTTTTTTGCTTTTTAACATTGCAGAACAATGCACTTAATCTAAATGTGACAACAATATAGGGGGAATTTTTAGTCTTGGAATTTTAGTACAGGGATGATAATTAATGATTATGATTTATGTGTTTAGCCTCTGACTATTGACTCTGTGTGATAAGTAATGGGTATCTTGGCAAACAATATGTCACTCAATCTGTGATGACTGTCGTCGGTTGTACTGTTTGTGCTAGAAAGGCAGAAGACCAGAAAAGGAGAGGGAAGCAGACACACATAAGAAACAAGAACACCAAGCCTTAACAAACACACTAGCCATTATTGCATAACTGAAGCAAACACAACCCCAGGCCACTGCCCTTCTCCCACTGCTATCACCCCATGACCTCTTCATCAAAAATTGTCTGCCAGATTAATTTAAACTAAATTTTTAAGTTTTTTTTGTATCTTCTACAGTGTTTACTAATCCTTTTGTTTGGGAATTGTCTGCAATACCCTAATCTGAATATGCATTTCTTATTCCCATTTGTTTCCTTTGTGTTTTTCTATCCTGTATTAATTAGCCAGTTTTATCTATGACATACATCTTTCCTTGAGTGCTTACTGCTTATATTTTGAGAAATAATTATTTATTTGGAAGCTTATCAAACACCTTTTGAAACCGTAAAGTTATTTAATATATTCAGTTTGTCTTTCATTTTTCTGCTCTCTGGATGCAGCTAAGTAGTACCACACTGTAGTCCCTGTACTTAAATCTCTCACACACTGGTTGGTATTCGTGGCTGTGCACTGAGTCGTATACTGCAATTTTGTCTGCAAAACGTCTATGTTCAGTGTCCAGGTGTATTGACATTTGTTTTAAAAAATAACTGATCATTTTTCAAAGTCCTGCTGTTCTCCTTTTAAACAGTAGATGGGGCTCCTCGTTTCTCAGAATGGTTTAGGCTCCACTCTCTTTTGCCGTGCGGCAGTCTGTGGTGGAGTCGGTGGTGGTTGCCTGGTGACGAGGAAGCCGTGGATGATTTCCTGTTGTAGATGGGACTGGTCCAGGGTCTCCATAATGTCATTTCTTATTAAATAATGTGGAATTGCAGATATCCGGATAGGAAAGCATTTTTCCGTTAGGGCGAAATCAGGCCGCCTGATGCCGCAGCATGGAGAACTATTCCTTCATCAGAGTGGTGGGCAAGGGGAGCTACGGGGAGGTGACTCTGGTCAGGCACAAAGTCGATGGAAAACAGGTAAAACAAACAGGAAAAATGTTATGTGTTAAAAACTGTATTTTTCAAGAAGCTGATACTTCATTTTTGTTGTTGGACTGATGTATTCCCCACCTCGTTAGCTACAGAATGGTTCAGTGTGTATGAAAATAACCGATCATTTAGTTCAGACAACCTTGCCCAAATTATGTTACTTAAATTTAAACTTCATAAGGTTGGTCTTTGCTAAGTTATTTGATTGAAATAATAAACTTTGTAGATTTGCAATTTGAAATGCGGTAGTAAGCGCTTTCAAACGCGTATTGGGATTTTTTTAGAGACCTTGCCTGTACTCTGAGTTTCATCAGTATCGCTAATTAAATGTCGATAAGTGATAAACGGCTTTTCTCAAACCAGTTATAAATCAACCTATTTACCTAAACTTTGCAGTGAGGTATTTAATTATCTAACAATACATTGCATGTAAGAATATGTGAAACATTTAAATAAAATTCGTATCTACTTCACCAAGTGTCGCTAGATGATATTGTAACGCAACGGGGGCTCAGGCGGGCGCCCTTGCCGCATCTGGTCGGCCCCATCCCGACTGGAGGCTCGAACCCGGGACTTCCGCGTCTCTCTGCAGCGACCTAGCCCCGTGAGCCAAAGAGAGATCTCTCAACAGCCCAGTAGCTGTGGTCCTGCTATCACAGGGAAGGGCGGTGACGTCACCCGCTCTGGTACGCCGGCTCTTACACACAGTGCTTGTCGGCCGTAAGCGTTACAATATACGTACATTGAGTGCACTACTTCAAAAGGCAGAAAATACTGTACATAATAGTCTAAATAGAATCGAGATGTTTCACTGTGAAAAAATGTTCACTGTGTTTGTGAGTGTGAGTTTTCTTTGGTTGAGATGATGCCACTGAATAATATCATTACACTATGTGACAGGTCATGAAAGAAATAATTCAAGGATTACATGCATTAAACGTGCATATTACAACTATCAAATTTAAATCTAGGTTTAAAAATAAAATGATCATTGCACGAATATTTTTGTGGGGTTCATAAACATTTCCAAGTCTGAACTATGTAGTAAAAATCGGTAACAATGTAACAGTTTTACTAAAGTTAAAATCGGCAACATGCCTCAAGCTAAGGAAAGACAACTACCTGTAGCATTAGCATCATGAAGGCGGACGTGTTCGAATCTCCTGATGGTGTTCTACCAATTGTACCTAGAAAAACAATATATTATTCATAGGCTGTTAACAACTCTACTAACACAAAAGTCAGAACTACTAACAGAAAATTCAAATCACCTAGCTGATTACATTTAGTGTAAACAAGATTAACATGCAAGAAGGTAAAAAAAAAAACTACAAATAGAAGATGGGAGCACTAAGCTTGAAGAAGCTATATGTGAAAAAGACTGAAGTATTTATGCTGACATTATTTATATAATCACGACTCTAGGGAAACAATAAGTAAAAAGCAAACGGGATGTTAGGATATAAAGTTAAAAGCTTAAAATATAAATAGAAAAAGAGGGCAGAAGAAACTGAAGAGGCTCCATAGCCAAAATGTCATCTCATTTTTTCCTTTCAGCATGTGATAAACCTTTACCTGTTCTTCTGCAGCCTACGCATGCTGACGCGACTACCTACTTGAATAGATTTTATGTTAAAATTGTATAAAACGCTTACAAGACTACATTTAAAATAGTGTGTAAGAACTTGATACATTCCTGGGCTTAAAAGAAGAATCTAGGACTAGGGAGGGGACTTTTTTTCAAATATTCATTATCCTCAAACAAAACCTTGAGTTGCCATGTGGCAACTCAGTGGACCTGAATCTACAGTGAAACTTGAACAAGAGGAGACAAAGGGAAGTTCATTGGATTCAGGATTGTGAGAATGCAAAACAAGGAATGGTCAAAAAAGATCTTGGGATCAATCCACAACTTGCAACCAAATGAGCTAGATGGGTCTAATGATGCTCTAGAACCTCTTAAGATATTCTGATGTTCCTCTAATTGCTGCTTTTCTTGTGATCACAGTACGTCATTAAGAAGCTGAACCTGAGGAACTCATCCAAGCGTGAGCGTAAGGCTGCAGAGCAGGAGGCCCAGCTGCTGTCACAGCTCCGCCACCCCAACATTGTAACTTACAGGGAATCATGGGAGGGAGAAGACTGCCAGCTGTACATCGCCATGGGCTTCTGTGAGGGAGGAGACCTCTATCATAGGCTGAAGGAGCAGAAGGGCAGGCTCCTCACTGAAAGACAGGTTGTGGAGTGGTTTGTCCAGATTGCAATGGCATTACAGGTAATGGCCTTTGAATCAGCAACTGCATTCTTGTCAACATGTAGCTGCTGAGATCCCTGCTCTGTTAAGAGTCACTTCAAAAGAAAGATGGGAATTATGGATAGGACCTTTAACGAAGAAATTGATTTTTTACCTAAATAAGCCATGCAGAATTACCTTAATTTAAAACTTATATGAAGTCGTATTAGAAATGGGGAAATATTGGAACCTGTATTTTAAATGGGTATTTTTATTGTAGTTTTTTTTTTCTTTTGTTCATATATACCTGAAGTATTTGCATGAGAAACACATCTTGCATCGGGACCTGAAAACTCAGAACATCTTCCTGACAAAAACAAATATAATCAAAGTTGGAGACTTGGGAATCGCCAGGGTTCTGGAAAATCAGAATGACATGGCCAGCACGCTCATCGGCACACCGTATTACATGAGCCCAGAGCTGTTCTCTAACAAACCATACAACTACAAGGTAAAGACAGCTGGAGAATACTTGTTTGCTTACAGTAAACCTTTCAACGCTCAGCATTTGAAATCTTAAGAGCTACATCTTTTCTTTCAAATTCATATTTATATTTTTAGATAATCCACTTAGTTTAGCCCAAAGCTAACCACCCCAGTTTATTCTGGCAGAAACAGTTGGTTAGATCATCACTCTATTTCACAACTATATGTGAAATGCATGAGTGGTGTCCTTTACTTTGTTTGTCCATCATTGTGTAGAATTCTACAAATGGCTCGCTCGCTGGCCCTGATGAGTTCACTTCAGTTTACTTAATCTGCTGCTTCTTATTCTTTCTCTCTCTCCAGTCAGATGTCTGGGCTCTAGGCTGCTGTGTGTATGAAATGGCCACACTGAAGCATGCTTTTAATGCCAAGGATATGAACTCTTTAGTTTATCGTATTGTAGAAGGAAAGGTGAGACCTCAAATGTCTTCTTATGTGCACTGAACATGTTACAAGTAACTTTAAAGAAATGGGCATTCCAACTGAAGTATAGCCAAAAACAGGTTACACCTGGCAATGAAGATTTATTGAAATTCAATATTTTGTATTTATAAAAAAACATTTGATTTTTTTAAGCTTCCACCGATGCCAAAAGAGTACAATCCTCAGCTTGGGGAGATAATAAGGAGCATGCTCAATAAAAGACCTGAGGACCGACCAGAAGTGAAGCATATTCTGAGACAGCCTTACATAAAGCACCAGATTTCTGTGTTTTTAGAAGCCACAAAGGAGTATGTATTTTCACTTTATAGTTCCACTTCTATGTGTAAGCAGAACTATGCAAAAAATCTTAAACTTTGTGCTCTTTATTTAATAGAAGTTGCATAATTCCAATTGCATAAGGTCACATTGTAATATAAGAATAATATATTACTGTATATTATGCACACCAGATGTGCCTGAAACTGTTACTAGAACTGTTTTTGTTCCCCAGTTTCTTCAAAAAAATTTCAGATTTTTCTGCTTCATGGAAATTAGATTTGAAGTTATTAAACATTTTATTATTTTTACATTTTTTTAAGAAAAACTGCTAAATCCAGGAAAAAAGTTTCAAATTGTAGGCCCAGTAATGCAGCTTCAGTGGCTTCTACACATTTAAACCAAGACAGCCTACATCAGCGACCCCCTGAGCCCAACAAGAGGAAGGTGATGGTGAGTCTGAGGCTTTAATTCTGCTGCACAGCACTGGAGAGTGATTTACTTCAGGATTAAAGTGAATGATATTATTAGGTTTTATGCCAAAAGATAAAAATATATTTATGAATGTGTAATGATACTAATATTTAATCTTTACTCATTTAAAAGTAAACCTGCCATCACATCATCCAGTTGAATGCTGCACATTGGTGGTAGTGAGGGGAGTCCCAATTATCTGTAAAGCACTTGAATGGAGTGTCCAGAAAAGCACTATATACAGTGCAGTCCATAAGTACCTGGACAGTGACAAAATGTTTGGTGTTTTGGCTTTGTACTCCAACACATTGGACTTGTGATGAAACAATGACTATGAGGTTAAAGTGCAATCACAGCCCTTTTTATACATATTCCCCCCATTTCAGGGGACCAAAAATAATTGGACATATTAACATAACCTTAAATAAAATTGTCATGTTTAGTACTTGGTTGCAGATCCTTTGCAGTCGATGACTGCCTCAAGCCTGTGACCGATAGACTTAACCAGACGCTGGGTATCTTCCCAGGTGATGCTCTGCCAGACCTGTCATGCCGTCGTTTTCAGTTCCTGCTTGTTTTGGGAACTTTTTTTCTTCAATCTTGTCTTTAGTAAGTGAAATACATGCTCAATGGGATTCAGGTCTGGTGATGGATTTTGCCAGTCAAGAACATTCCACTTTTTGGCCCTGAAAAACTCCATAGTTGCTTTAGCAGTATGTTAGGGTCATTGTTCTGCTACAAGGTGAAGTGCCGTCCAATGGGTTTTGAGGCTTTTTGTTGGATCTGAGCTGATAAGATGGTTCTGTACACTTCAGAATTCATCATGCTGCTTCCATCGACAGACACATCATCAGTAAAGACAAGTGAGCCAGTTCCACTGGCAGCCATAAATGCCCAATCCATGACACTACCTCCACCATGTTTTACCTCAATTTACCTTCGGGATCAATAAAGTCTTATCTATCTACAGAGGAGGTGGTATGCTTAGGATCATAAGCAGTTCCTTTTTTTCCACACTTTCCTCTTTCCATCACTCTGGTACAGGTTAATCTTAATCTCATCTGTCCATAAGACTTTGTCCCAGAACTCTACAGGCTCTTTTGAGTACTTTTTAGCAAACCGTAACCTGACCTTCCTGTTCTTGAGGCTTACCAGTGGTTTGCATCTTGTGGTGAACCCTCTGAGGTTATGCTGGTTTATTATTCTCTTTATGGTAGTCATTGACACATCTATGCCTACATCCTGGAGAGTGTTCCTGATCTGTTCAACAGTCAAAAGGGGGTTTTTCTTCACTACTGTGGTCTTCCATGGTCTACCAGGCCATTTGCTATTGCCCAGCTCACCAATGCGCTCTTGCTTTTTAACAATGTACCAAACAGTTGATTTTGTCACACCTAATGTTTTGGCTATGGCGATGATTGATTTATTCTGATTTTCCAGCCTCATGATAGCCCACTTTACTGGCATTGACACTTCTTTGTTCCTTATGTCGAGAGACAACAGCAACAGACTCCAGATACCAATCCTACATCTAGAATCAACTCTGGACCCTTTGTTAGCTCTCTTTTGCATGAAATAATGATGCAGTGACATACAGCTGGCCAAGAAACAACTGACCAGCCAATTGTCCAGTTACTAGAATTGGAGTGCTATGTATAAATAAGGCTTGAATGGTTCATTTCAAATCCAATGTGCTGGAGTACAGAGGTAAAACAACAAAAATTGTGCCACTGTCCACAGTGGACAGTGGCACTGTAATAATAAAACATTTCAAATTTTCTCCGATGAAAATTGAAATGTGAAATTTTTATGTTGCTAATGAGCATGGTAGGGTTTACATTAAGAAATACATTGTTTTTAAAATATACAAAACAGATAATACTGGTTTTAGTTAATGATCAGGAAATTAGATATGTTTCTTACACAATAATCTGTTGGTTCATTTGGAAATTGTTGAACTTGCTGCTCATTCAACTGCAATGTTTCTTTGGTTGTGTGAAAATATCTCTTTTTGCAGAAGAAAGAAAGCTGTTCACGGCTAAACAAGGAAAGCACCACTGCCTCAGGAATACAACCTTGCCCAAAACCATTTCCTCAGCAGGCCCTTGGCCAAGATATTTTCCACAGTACAGGACTGTCATTAGCTACCATTAGCGGAATTGATATTGATGTCAAGCCAAGCGAAGAAAGAAAGAATAAGAAAGGAGAGCTGCTGACACCTGATACATGCCTGAAAGAGCTCTCAGGTGGCAGTGGCAGTGAAGAGTTAAAGAGGCTGTCGAATGGCTCTGCAGCTCAAGATGCTCAGCCCCAGCAGGTTCTAAAGACAGCAAACAAAACAACAGTTCCTGTCAACCATCCAGACTGGACTGATGATATGACTGACAAAGACAACACATTGAAGCTTCTTCAAAGCATCAGTATGAAAAATAACTTACCTGAACTGAAGGTTAGAACTGGGATAAAACCTAAACTTAAATTTAATTTTCAGTTCTCTGTAGCTATTTCTATACTATTTCAGTTCTCATTACTGAATGTTTAGCATAATGTTATAATAGCATATATTTTACCTTTATATAATATCTATTTAAATTTAATGTTTTTGTTACAATCAGTATACAAATCTATCTTTATTTTTAGAAAATAATCTTCATACTTTCATGTTTTTATTTATTATGTTTTGACTGAATTGCTTACATATTCATAGAATATTTGCTTTGGAAAAGATTGAAAGTAGTCCTGTCTTATTCTTCAAGGAAACCTTGGACACAGAAAAGCTTCTTGAGCCTTTTGTCCCTGTTATAATACCGGTAGGACTTTTGCATTCATACCTTGGCTTAGAGCTTAAAGTAAAGATGTAGAAAATTCCTTTTTCTGGAAATCCGACATATTTCTCTGGTCAGGTCTACTAACATTACTCCAGTGTTCAATATTTGCTTCTTTGAGTTTATGTATAATTTCCTTTAGAAGAAGGGCCCACTTGTTTATTATGTAAATCAATAAGTTATTTAGTCTAATTATGATGTGCAACACCAGCAAATAATGTTGATCGTTTAAAAAGCAATAAATAAAATATAACTTATCTATTGTCTTAATGTTATTTTAATTCCTGTTTAAAATATTTTGTCCTCATAATCACTATTTTTTGTTTTCCCAAAACATTGGAATTCTCTCAGGTCCCAGAACTTTATCATGGTGACAAATTCTATATTGACCATTTTTCTATTCTAATGTTCTAATGGCCTGTTAAATCAGTACATCTGCACTTACAGCATCAATAAGAGAGTGAATAGTTTGTGACCTTACTCTCCCATTTCTCATAAAAGTGGCATCTACAGAAATTTATGTTTTCTTTGCTGTTGTGTATCTTTCCTGGAAAGTGTTTTGATTTTCTTTTCTTTTTTATTTCTTCTTGTTTCTTTTTCCTCTTTCCTAAATGAAGGAGCTCTCCCATGAGGGTGCCCCTCCTCCTCCAGGTCAGGGTGCTCCTCAGCTGCAGCCTCACTCTTCAACCTCCGAGCCATCACTCTCCCGCCAGCGCCGACAAAGGAACAGAGAGAAGGCTCAGGAGAGCAAAGACCAGGTTGATAGAATTTTCCTTCTACCCATTTCAACATCTGTTTTTTAGACTAGTATATTTCTGTGTCACATTTTGAAATTTCCTCTTTCTTTAGTTTAAAGCTGTCCCACCCAGGCCTTTGCCATCTCCCCCTAGAAGCACTGACCTGTCAGATGTCAAGAAGAGTCAAGGAAATATGGAAAACCCTAAACATGGACTATGCTCTCATCTTTGCAGCTCCAGTGACAGTGCAGTAGCTGTGTCACAGGTCAGCTCTTGTTACAGCTGTTTCATAATTTGTATGCTTCTGTGTTAATTCAAGAATGTTTGGAGGGTTTTAGAAGAGATTATTGGGGTCCATTGTAATCATCTTGTTTGGCCTGACATAGAGAAGTATCTCAAAATTTGTTTTCCTTTTTTTTTGTTTGTACAAAAAAGAATGTTGTCTCTGTAGTCCCTCAGGACTCTGTCTCTTCAAACAACTTTTTGTCTCACTTTTATGCTGACAGTTCTCAATGTTTTATCTCTCTTCTCTCCTTTGATGCCCAAGTCTCCTCCTGCATCTCTGCCTGTCTCACAGCCATCTCTTCCTAGAAGCACACTATCTCAAGCCCAGACTGTCAAAGTCTGATCTTGTTTTTTCTGTCCTCAACTCTGTGATCCTCTCTATTTCTCTTGCTCTGTCCCTCCCTTGGTGTCACTCTTCATCTCTTTCTCTCCTATTCCCAGCTCATTTCTTCTATTCCCAGCTCATTTCTCCTCCAGCATCATCCTGCTGCTTCTTCTTTAGCAACATTTGCATAATTCAGTCTTTAAATTGAACCCCTTGGAGACAAATAAAGTATTTTGAATTGAATTGTTCCCTGGTACTGTCTTGCCTAGACTATTGTAGCTCCCTCTTGGCCATACTCCCTGCTAAACCTATCCACTCCCACTTATCCAGAGTTCTGCAGCTCATCTTGTTGCTTTTCTAACGTAAATTTCATAGATGTTTATTGTAAGTTGTCCTGAAATTTGCTAAGCCCATAATGTAAACAGAATTTATTTATGCTGCTTTATGCAAAGTATTTTCCATGTTTATTTGTTTTATTTAATACTTAGTGCTGTAATCAAGACTATTCATTCTTCATATTAATCAACATGTTATTTCTGAAATGCTTGGTTAAGGATCGCCCACTGTCTGCTAGAGAAAGGAGAAGACTCAAACAGTCCCAAGAAGGGATCTCCCACTCTGGTAAAGATGCTGTAGACCCAGAATTTAAACTACAGTGTAAAGCTGACCACAGCGTCAAAATGTTTTAGATCACATTAAACAAACACTCATTAAACATGTTACAATATCTAAATTTTCTCTTGATTTTATATAGAAAATCAGAAACAGTTGTACAGTTGCCTCAATAATTTTCTTTTTACACTATTCTCTATTCTGTGTCAACTACTGGATTATGACTCCTGTAAGACAAATGATTTATGATTGTTTAATTATTTAGTTGATGAATTTATCCAAACCAACCCCTATTTGTACCTATTTGTACATTTTATAAGGGGACCCAACAGTGCCAGATCTAGGATTTAAACCCACGACTCGTTACAAGGCCAAACCCCCAACCATTATTCTGCACAGCTGTCTCATTTTGGTGCTGGAACACCCCACAACCTTATTAAAGACATGTTTTGAAAAAGGTATAAGGGCAGTAAAACTAATTGGCATGCAATTTCAAACATTTTCTAAAGAAATTCTTCCCTGATACTGATAGGTTTTTATTTTGTAAATGAATTAAAGAGACCATGTTTATTCTTGAAGCAGTTCCGGCATCCAGAAGGGCCTCATGCAGCACAGTCACTGAGAACAAGCATCCAATCGGTCATAGTGTAGCAGGCAGCTCTTCTGCAACAGACATTGTTACCAAGGTGGAGAAGGTAAGTCAGCCCTGTCCTGTTGCATCAAAAACATCTTTTTGATCTCTTTGAGAAGCCACCTCTAAAGGCGCTATATAAAATGAAGTTTATTATTCTTATTGTAATTGCTGTTGTTGTTATCTACTGTGCAAAATACTTTTGTAGGTTTCCAACAATAGAAAAACATAGTTCCAGTATGTTCTTTTGTAAGTTATGTACTGTAATACTCGGTACCTCTTTGCAAGACTGAGAGTGGCTCTCAGTGTGAGTTAGTGAGGAGGAAAATGTCTGCTCTTTCCCCAGCCCCAGAGTAGGTTAGCCCAGCGCCATTCTGATGAAGACGAGTGCAGTTCTTCCACCAGCTCCACAGAGCGTTTAGAGGGAGACGGCAGAGAGGGGTAAGTTTGTCCTGTACAAAGAACTGGATGACGGAAACCGCCTTCAGTTATCTTTCCAAATGCCACTGGAGTAAGAGGTTTGGGAACACATATTAATTTGTTATCCCATTTTACACTAATTGACTTGACATTGACACATCACCCTTTTCTCTGATCAATCTTTGCTGGTTTATGGAGACATGAATATCCATTTCTTACAAGATGGTGATAACAAAACTGATTTGAACATTAAAATGATTTATGATTTATGGAACCAAAATTCAGCAACTACAAATTACTTTTTTAATTTTCATTACTGAGACCATTGGTACATTTCATTCTACTTGAGCTTTTAATCACATTATTATTATTAATAATAATATGAATATGTTTTTAGGCATTTGATTTGAACATACCCTGTAAAATCTGCTGGATTGTAGTTTTTAAATGATTGGAGCTGTGCAGCTGTGTTTATTAATCTGCAAGTACTGGCCTAATCTTACTTAGTGCCTTCAATGTAAATGTTTTTTAGATTTCACCACTTCTCTGTCTGAACTGAAACACATTGATGCTTTCTTCTTAAACTTGGTATCACTGTTAGATTGTTTATGTTATATTTTAGAAAGAGTGACTCCAGTGAGATGCAGGATCTTGTACAACTAATGACCCAGACATTAAGAATGGATTCCAGAGATACTGGCTGTGTACACGAACATCCCATACCACTGCGTGAATTCAAACTCAACAGGAAATACAGAGACACACTTATACTGCATGGAAAAGCAAAAGAGGAGCAAGAAAATTTCTACTTCAGAGAATTTCCTACAGGTCTGGTTCTGCTTTTCACTTCCAAGTATTGTGTAGCAGCGTAAGGACGATATTGTTCAACAGTTTAATCTACGAAAAGGTACAGTTCATGCAAGATACGTTAAAAGTGGTATGACATGCTTACTGGCCTAACTGAATGTTTACAATTGAATCACTGTGCAACATCTTGTATGTCGTTTCATTCTGTTTTTAATGTTAATAACAAATTTAATAAATAAATGTTTAGGAACATTCTCTGCTAATGAAGTGCTTTTACAGTTGGTGAATATGAAAAGAGTAATTTGAAAGTAAAAAAGTTACATGTTTTAAAACTTGCAATATTATTATTTTTTGTTTTCATTCTAAGATTCTACTTCTGGACCTGCTAAGATCAAAAGAGTGATTGAGTGTCTCAGGACTGATGCAGTAAAGGGGCTGGGAGTAAAACTGCTAGACAAAGTCCTTGATATTATGGAAGAGGACGATGAAGTTAAGAGAGAGGCAAGTAAATGTAATTAAACTACATAGATTACAGCTGTAAACAGTAACAAAGATCAGGATCTGTTCAACAGATTTATGAATTAAGGAAAAAATGGTCAAGGGGTGAAACTATTTAACAGTCTCCTGCAAACTACTGATCTGAGGTATAGAGTGTACAGGCCATTTAGAACTATGTGGCCTAAAATGCAAAACTGAGATGTCTTTGTGCAGACCAGTTGGTGGATGATATAGACCACTTAAAGCAGACACAGATGCAAGTCACTTTCTGTGTGATGATACTAGGAAGAAATATAGCAAAGAGGTTAAAAGAACTGCAACATGGATGATTCCTGACCTCAAGGGATTGTCATGTATGTACTAGTTAAAGGTGCTATTTTTTCATTCTAGAACAGAAAGGAAATATGATCCAAGTATATACAATTCTAGAACTGGATGAAATTTTCGATCAATATAGCTACTAAACTACCAAACAATGCCCTTTCTTTATTGCAGCTTTTTGTATGTTATGTTCTAATGTTTTCATACCCATTTAGTTCAAAAGCCATGAACAAGAAAAAATAGTAGAAAGGATTTTTTATGCAGTGTTTACCTTAAATTCTAAACGTAATATATTCAGATAGGCATTCTGTACTTCTGTTAAAATTCCTAGTGGCATGTGTTAGAAGTGCCTTGTGGTAGCAGTTTATGTGTTCTTTCTTTCTTCAGCTGCACCTCCGGGAGCAGATGGGAGAAGACAAGTATAAACAGTATGCTGTGATGGTTCGACAGCTCAAGTTCTTCGAAGATGTCATTTTTAAAGAGTGATGTTTTTTGTATAAAACAATAATAAGGAATAATTATAATAACAATAATAAGGAAGGGAAACGTTCCTGTTAGTTTGCATGGTGCTGGAAAAAGACCTTGAAATACACTGTGGATGAAGATGTGGTTTTATCAATATAGAGGCTGTATTCAGTTAAGCAGTACTCATTGTGCTGAAGACTTGCAATGGTTTGGTGTATATTTATTAATGTAGATTAATTATTATTTTAAGTAGAAAATACATTTTTGAAAACATGTTTATAAAATTAAAATTATTAGAGATAATTAGAAATTTGTTTAAATTCATGCAACATATTGTTGCTACTGTTTGATCTCACCTGAAGCTTAGCAGCAAAACTAAGGTCAGTCTTTTTCATAGCTTAGTATTCCTTTCAATATTTTGTTAGAAACTATATTAATTCCACATACAGCTATTTTTGGACTGTTCACATCTATATCTTTTATAATTATGTATTGAGGTTATATTTCCCCAATACCTGTCAGGATCATGGATGTTATATTTTCTGTACTCTTATTTTAAAAAAAATATAAATTTAATGAATACCTCTTAGAGCACTGGATATGCTCCAAGAGAGATCTGAGAGATAACCATGTTTTATATGCAAAGGAACTACTGTAGTAAGGACAAGGGTAAGGACATGCTGAAACTTTTGTATGTAATTAACCTCAACTTTAATTGCTCTTCTGCAGCCAACCCACTCTGATACAGCTCCGCACTTGGACCCTGTCTTTAGAATTGATCTTAGAGTACTTTTTCTTTCACACTACACAAGGTACTGTATATCACTCACTGAGAGGTGGATAAGAATTCTCACTTTAAACTTTGTAAATATCAAACCAAAAGCAACACAAGAATGACTCTAAGATACAAAGAATATTATTAAAACATCTAAAAATACAGTAAATCATTGCCTGTATCTATACAGGCAAGTGGAAAAATGAATTGATACAGTATTTTAAACCAAATTTCCTCTCTTAATAAATTTCTCTGACATCTGATATACTGTGAATAATTGTGGAGTATGGGTAGCATTTTTATAATAATCTGGAAATTTAATGTTTCACCACTTTTTTAACTGCTATGAAAACATTAGGTATGCATTTAGAGACAGCAGATGCTTTCTGGATTCTGGAGAAGTGGATTCTGGATGTACAGTATACTACAGATTGATACAGCAGATAAACTAGTCCATCTGTATTTCTGAACTAATTTTTCATACAGTACGTGAATATTGACTGTAATGCAGATCTTTTTACACTTGGTTGTTTCTTTATTTGTATAATGGTTGCAATTAATAAAGTTGTAGGAACAAAAACAATTTGCTTTGCTTAATTTCCTCAATTGTCTTTTTTTTCCCCACGCATAAAAATACCTGTATCTGACAGTTTGCATTAATATGCATTTCCTAAACGCTTTAATAGTATGAAAGTACAGCTCAGAGAAATTTTGAAATGAGTTATTTTGAAATAATTGTGGATGTGACCTTTCCCGAGAGCAAAACGGATACAATTGTATGTTCTCCTGCTATGCTCTGAACAGAAGCATATTTCAAGCAGCGTCTTGCCTAAGAACATCCTTTTGAGTCATGATAAATGTTGTGTTTAAGAAAGAAAAACTCTCGAGCATGTATTTAGATGTAAGATTGTCATACATGGTACATAATACAACAGTATTTTTAACATAGAGCATTTTCCACTCTTCAATTGCTCTGAAATGTCACAAACTCTCTCTGCAAACATTCCACATGCCTCTTTTCAACATGCACAGAAATTAACCAAATTAAGAATGACCCTTTTACACACACATATCACACTATACAAAACAGGTACCCCAACAGTTTAAGAACTCCTTTTCAAATGTTATAATCCCCAGTTTCAGTCACTCCAGATTTTCAGAGACTTTATTAACTTTATGCTGTATGACCGTGCTTGGGTTTCATTGAGACATTGTGAAAAAAAAAACAATTTAATGGTGGGAAATATATATGAAATCACTCATCTTTAAAGTAATTTAATAAAAATCCACATGTTCAAAAAACCTTATGTATGATTACTACAAAACACCTACTGTATCACTCAAAAGGAAAAAATATAAAATGTTAAGTTAAAGTAAAATAATGGAGGTAAGAGGGGTTAAATTACTACTAACGTGAGAAAATACTTTGTTATACTTTCTGTCTGGATTTACTGAGGCTCCTGCACAAAGTCGTAAAACAGCGCTGCTGTCACGTAGCTCTTGGTTTCAGGGTTCAAAGCTGGACTGGGGCACCTTCCGAGTCGAGATTGTACATTCTCTCCCTCTTTGGCTTCCAGCAAAAGAGAAGCAGTTTAGGTTAACTGATGTCTCTAAAACTGACCCCCACGTGTTGTGTAACATTGGACTGGCTTCCCACCCAGCATGTATCCTACCCCATGCTAAGTGTCTGCCACGTTAGGCTCTAGGCCAAAATGACACTGTATTGGACTCCAGAGACCATGTATTGAAATAACTTAGCTTTTTTAAATGGATACAGCCAAAAATAATAAAAGAGTAAAATGAATCTGCCACAAACATCTGAGGATTACACCAATTTATTGAACTACAGCCAAATTTATCTCATATGAGGGAAATGATCTGATTTTTACAAAGATATTACAGAATAAATTGGTAACATCATCTACTTATACTTCTTTGGCCTCTTGGTATTTTCCTGTGTCTTCTCTCTGCTCTCACCTGATGGCTCAGGCTTCACAGGCTGCCAGGTCAGGGGGTGTCGGCGGTACATGGGCCACGAGGGCAGGGTGAGCTGCAACACAGGGGAGGTTTAACAGACCCATCCTTCATAAAGTTACAAAAGTGACAGTTTCTGGAAAATGATTTGTTGTTTCACTACAGTAATTGTACAGGTAGTGGACAAAATGGAGAAAAAAAAAACAATTTAAAGTCACTTAATAAGGATCTAGGCTAAGACGTGTAGTGTGCGCTACAAAAGGTCAAACCGCTGGACAACAACACGGGATCTGTGGATGGGGGCATTATCATCCTGGAAGACACCCCCCAAGGAGGAATAAAAAGGCTGCTACATGGGGAGCAGATGATCACTGAAAACCATTAAGTAGCAATTAGTGCTGACAATACATGTACAAAAACCATGCTTATAAAGTTCACCCTCAAAATTACTGTATAACCAGAGCCCTTCACTATTGACACCAATCACTCAGGATTGAAGAGGTTTTTAGATTAGAGCTGTCTGTGCATTGAGAACATGGAGAAATATAATCCCTGACCTTCTCAGTAGACTGTTTCTGATTAAACTTGTTGCTTGTACCCTGGCTAAAAATGTAACTCATTTTTATCATCTTTGACACCACTTCCTACAGTATGAGACTTCCGCAAGTTGAGCTGTCTTAATCTCAGATGTTCATATCAAACAGCCCCCAGACAAAGATACTAAGGTCCCCTCTTCCAGCCATAAGTATAGGCAACCAGGCGATTGTTATACATGTTATCCAACAGTGTTATACAGGACCCTCAGCATGCAGGAATGTTACATTTGTGTAAGAGATCCTATTTTCAATACACGTGGCGTCCCCCACTTACCCAGGAATTTCCACTTTTTTGTCCACTACCTTTAGTTTAAAGGTAAACCTGATTATATTTAATGATCACTCATAACTATAAAAAATAAACTACCAAAGCCTTCCCTTTATGTTATTGTATTAGTTTATTTAGTTTTACTAATACCACTCCATGGTACATATTTCTACACTGTTGTTTTAAAGTTTATTGTTTTTTCTGGTAATACGTTGCCTTGGAAGTTCACAGATTGCTCAGTTTTTAGCTTACCAGACAAGAAACGGCGAACCCAGTCAAAACAATGTAAACTGTCCATCCAAACTGCTCAATAATAAGTCCATAAATAAAGCCGACAATCTGCAAAATAAAACGGACGTTTGAGTTACATAATACGTTTTAAATAAAGATCAACAGACTGCAGTCAAATTGCACAATGATTGGCGAGTACTTACTGCTGAGACAAGTATGATCCCCTGGAATATCTGTTCGGCTAATTTTTGTCCTTTGTAATCCTGAAAGTAAAACAATAAAAGTATTTCTTGTAGATAAACTTGAATACAATATCATAAACATACATTTTAGAAAGTCTTTTTCACACAACCGAATATATTCTGAACTCAATGTCTGCTTCCTCACAACCAATAAAATGAAGAAACTGTTTAAGAATTCAATGTAATGAATTATGAAGTATGAATTACTAGACTTATAATTTTCCACAACGGTATCTGTAATTAACTACCGAGGATAAATAATGTCAGCATTACTAGTCGCTGATGGATTTTTCAAAAATGACCTGCACTTGCTCGCAAATTTCGTTGAGGAAAACAACAATCGGAAAACGAACTTCTTACCATATGTGTAGGAATTTTACTGAATATAGATAGCATCCTGCAACCCGTGAAGATTATAAAACGTACGATTAATTTAATCACTAAACAAGGAAGTACAATTTTATGTAAAAACCAATACTATTTTGCGAACCACATCCGTTTGAAGTGTAAGACGCACTGACAACTCTTCTGTCCCCGGAATATTACGTGTCGTTCCGAAGCGACGTTCGGCAAACAACGGAAGATGTCGTGTCGTTTCGCAGCAACTTCGGTAATCAACGGAAGGTTTCGTGAGGTAGGAGGTGCGGATCTTTCCTATACACCAGGAGTTCCCCTGTTGTCCTGGTAGTCTGTTCTATGATGTGATACGGTAGTACTTCGTTGTTTGATTTCTCAGTAATTCGTTTGGCATCCAAGCAGCAGCTGTTTTACACACGCAGAAGAAAAAGGTGGTGCTGCACTTTGGTGGTGGCGGAGAGGAGTCCCCATTACCTGTAAGGCGCTTTTAGTGGAGTGTCCAGAAAAGCGCTATATGAGTGTAAGCAATTATTATTATTATTATTATTATTATTATTATTATTATTATTATTATTATTATTATTATTATTATTATTACCTATAACATAGGAACAGTACAAATAAACTTTACATTAAAAAGAAATATACCATAACATAAAAAACATACATAGTCATTACACACAAGTCCTACAGGCTCCCCCCAGTTTACCAGAATCTGAAAATTAATTCCCTCCATCACCCCACTACACAGACATGCACAGTCACCCTAAACTCCTATAAATCCACAAGTCCATCTGAAATTATCCCAACATTGGTTAATTTGGACCAATTAAAGAACTTCTGCTGTTAAAGACACCTTGAAAACTTGAAAACCTGCAGACACAGCAGCCCAGAAGTGTAGGGAAGGTATTCAGGAGTTTATGGTGATTCATCATGTGGCTCATCATTTTTTGAAATAGAGGAAGGGTCTCTAAACTGAATCTGGACAGTCCCAATCCAGATAGTCCGCATCTCACCCCAAATCACTGGTCAAACAAAGATTAGGAATCCTCAAAGATTTTGATCAATTAATCAAGTAATTTGTTCTACTAAGAAAGCTCTGGTCCTTGAGGACTGAGGAGTATTCAGAATTTTGTTCCAAAAGATTTCTATATTAATATATTTAACAAGCTGCCTGGTTAACTGATCTGGTAACTGATCTTCGAAACTTGATGATGTGTCACCTAAAAAATATCCCAGACTGGGACTCCTGGCCTGGATGGGGTAACAATGCAAAAAGGTCAGTAAAATACTTAGGTACTGGCCTCTAACTAGGAGTCTAGAAAATGAAAACAAATCATGTTATAATTACACTGTATATTAATTAGGCCTTATTTGAAAAAAAAAACTGATGAGTTTCAATGACTGTGCTGCAAGAAAGACATTTCAGTTCAAAACAGAGCAACCAGACTACTCCCATGCTTGAAGGGATAAATATACAGGCAGACTGCACAACCTGAACCTCTGTTCAGGGATCAGGGAAGCAGAGGTCCCTTAATTCAGGTATTCAAAATCCTGAAACCTCTTTAAGGACATAATTGTACACCTAATTGAGAAGAATTAAGGATATTAATTGTAGAACCATCTTTACACCGAGGTGTTTGGGAGATGGGAACCAAATCCCAAGACAGCTGGCTGAACGCTGTGTCCATGGGACATCCTAAGAAAAGAATACATGACATGGAATTCAGGGATCTAGACACCAGAGCTCTTGGGCGCACTTCCTTTTGTTTTTTAATTACGTTCTTATCTAATCAATCTTTAGCTGTCATCTGTCTTAGACTAAAAGGTATTGCCAAACAAATAGAATTCAGTGGTCATATTAACAAATGCTCTAGTTTAAAATACAAGGTGCAAAACAAGATCTGCTGTGACTGTAGAAGAGCGCTAAAACATGAACTGCTCCCTCATAGGTTGTTCCAGAGATACTAGGGACTGGCTTGGTAGTGGGTGTGGGGGGGGTAAAAAATAACATACGTGAATAGAAAATATATCATTCTTCATTGCATTTCATTGATGCAAATGTTGCCACACAGACGCGGTTATTGGTCTTACATAGCATTTTTATTGCTTAACAAACACGCTCTATTTCTATTTTTTTTTACTTCAATATGAGATTTGTAACAATCCGAAATTCAGACTACGGGAAGCCTACTAATGGAAGAATTCTGATTAAATAAAGTTAGGCGCCAGAATTTTTGTTAATGCAAGCTTTAATTAATTTCCACTAAAATAAAAACCGCTTTAATTTTTTTTATACTACACAGTATGTAACAGTCCGGTACTGCACTGATGAAGATTATGAGGTTACAGATTCCCATTTTTCCACGACTTGTGTCTGTCCCGATAAATGTGATAATGCCGTGTTCAAAAGCGTCCGCAGTACAGCACCAGAGACACAGCCTCAATGAGGTTGAGTATCCTAAACCAAGCCTGCGGTGTTTACTAAGGGTACGTAATAAAGCAAAGGTCCCTTTATGACTGTCTGTAAATATCCTGTGTGAAAAGGTCAATAAAATGATCAAATAAATTTAAGTATGCTTGATGATAAATTATTTTAATATATTTTAAAGTAAAAGTGCTATGGATTTATATGTATTAGAAAGATTCAGGCACTTCGTGGACAACTAATTTTGTTAGGCTTTTGCACGCTAGCCGAAACGGCTTTGTTGATGTTGAGTTGGCACTTTGGCTTAGTAGTGGTTTTATGTATTGTGTAAGGTAAGTAAAAATTCAGACTTTACTTTGCATTGACTCAGTGCAATATCAGAGTTTTTACGAATGTATTATTTTTACGTTCATGATTGATGTTAGAGATCAACCAGCATGTGATTGTACTGTTCCTTACTGATGGTACGGCCAAGTTCTTTCTTCTCCAAGTTCTCTCTTGTCCAAGTGTGAGATCATTATGAATTTTCACAACTACAGACGAAATGTAGTTGGCATTCGATTCGGAGACAGACAACCGTGTCCTATGTTTTTAATTGTTTTCGATACGTTGTGTTGCAGTCATTTGTGTAGCATGTAGTATTCGGCATCGATATCTGGCTTTGAAGTTGGGTTCTTGAAGTTTGCTGATAGAGTGCTGGGATGTCCATTTTCCTCCTAGGGCGTTGAGCACTTCAGTGGGAGAGTATGACGTTGCGAAGAGGTAAGTTTTTTCTTCCACTCATCAATGCATTTTTTCGGACTTTTTCGTGCGACTGTAATTTATTTTTTATTCCCTTTCTTTTGCAGTTAACGTTGTCATTCTGGTGCTGATTGCAGTAGCATTTTTGATAATTGTGCACCGCAACCTCATAAATCTGAATGATTTTTTAAGAAGGGAAGGCTCCGGTAAGCACAGTTCAATCTAGGAATTATATACTCGTTTCGTCTTGGTGTTCGACTTTAGGAAAACCTCATTGCGTAATTATACATTATCAATGAAAGGAGTAATTGTACCTGCTTTCTTTTCTCGTAGATTCTGCTCACGTGGGACTACCGCACGAGTCTGAGTTTGACATTGAGGCTCCTCGTAAGTTTGAGGTTGCGAGAGTGGGAAGAGAAATTCCGGTGGTTATCACTGCTGTGGAGGAGAGACTGGGAGCCTTGATAGCAGCAATGAACAGTATCTACAGCAACAGCAAGTCCAACATCGTCTTCCATATTGTGACAATGAATGATACCGTAGATCATTTAAAGTAAGTACTTGAATTTTAAGTGTTGAAATACCTTCTCACATTTGTAGTTTGTGTGTTCTGTATTAATGTGGGATTTCTCGGAGTATGCCAGAATGTCCCACCATGCCCCTTATACCTCCAGGATATGCTGTGGATTACTGCAGGCTTTACTGTTAATAGTGTTCCAATAATGGGGGATTACAAATGTCTTTTTAATATAAAATGTTTTTTAAATATTGTTTTATTTCAGAGCATGGCTCAGCAAAACTGCCCTGAAAGCTGTTAAGTACAAAATGCTACCATTTGACTCTCGTATTTTGGAGGGGAAAGTATCCAAGAATCCCCAAGAAACGGAAGCAGTTAAATCGGTCAGTGTATTTCAGATGTCATTTGCTTACAGATTTGTTTGGAGAACCTGAACCAGAAAATGTGTAGTGAAACCCCTGCAGTTTTCTCATGCAAAATGAGTTGCCTCACCCTTCCACCATGAGGAAGGAAGGCGATAGTTTGCTTTCTAAACGCTAATTCACTGGACCTCAGATTTTTGAATGTCAATGTTTGTCTTTCTGATTATTGTTTTACAGTTAACCTTTGCAAGATTTTATCTCCCTGTATTTGTGCCGGATGCAGAGAAAGCAATTTATATGGATGATGATGTCATTGTTCAAGGTACTGGTAGAAAAGAAAACTGAAAGTTGTGCTTACTTTAAAACAATCAAAACGGCAAGAAGAGTTATGTTGAAAATGAAAGAGGACTTCAAATGAAAGCACATTTCTAGAACTGCTGAGAGGAAGTGAATGGATTGGTATATTTTCATATAGGGGCCGCTGTGATTTTGAGTTGTTGACGGAGTTCAGTTGCAATGGTTTAAAGTTCAAAAGAAGTGCGTGTGCAATCTGGAGTACAAAGCAGAATGGAAACAGCTGTAAACGCAGCGCCTCTGACACTAGTCGACCCTTTGCTCCATTTCAGGAGACATCGAGGAGCTGTACAACACGCCACTCAAGGCTGGGCATGCTGCTGCCTTCTCTGATGACTGCGACTCCACCGCTGCCAAGGGCATCGTGCGAGGAGCGGGGAGCCAGGTACTCAGCGCGCTGCGGCTCAAGGGTTGTATGTGGTTGTCTGGATCTTGCACATTTCAAGACTGGTTTTGACCTTGGTATGTTCATGCATGTGTCTGGATTAGAGTATATTAATAATAATATAATAATTGCTTACACTTATAGCGCTTTTCTGGACACTCCACTCAAAGCGTTTTACAGGTAATGGGGACTCCCCTCCACCACCACCAATGTGCAGCATTCACCTGGATGATGCGACGGCAGCCATAGTGCGCCAGAACGCTCTCCACACATCAGCTATCAGTGGGGAGGAGAGCAGAGTAATGAAGCCAATTCATAGATGGGGATTATAGGAGGCCATGATTGGTAAGGGCCAATGGGAAATTTGGCCAGGACACTGGGTTTACACCCCCACTCTTTTCGAGAAGCGCCCTGGGATTTTTAATGACCACAGAGAGTCAGGACCTCGGTTTTACGTCTCATCCGGAGGACGGCGGCTGTTTACAGTATAGTGTCCCCATCCCTATACCGGGGCATTAGGACCCAAATGGACCGCAGGGTGAGCGTCCCCTGCTAGCCCCCTTCCAATGTAGATTCCTCTTACACATGCTTTGGAAGGGGGGTTACTGTCATTCCAACAGACACCTGGTGAAATTATTTACATGTGTTTAAGATCTCAGGCATCCTCTAGTGGATGTCTACATTGGAATGTAAGACCTTATTCCAAATTTTGGGATAGGGGAACACGGCCGTAAAAAGTCCCCATTTAAGCCTACAAACCTCTCTTTTTTTACACATTTACAAACTAATTTTACTAATAAAAATTTGAATAAAAAAAAAGTTCAATATCAAGTACATCTGATAACAATATTGCATTATCACACTAAATTAATCATACACAGTTTGTTCACCTGTTATGAGAAAAAAGATCTCTTAACAGTGCATACAGTACTGTTGGAGAACATAGCACTGTTACATGCAGTAATATATGAAAATAATATGGAAAAGGCCTTCTTAACCATACAGTAAACATTAATAAGAAATGCACTTGCTCATAAAGATTATGATGAATTTTATATACTTACCTAGTAATGATGATGATGTCTGTTGCGGTTTGTCAGTTTTTGAAGACTGGTGGATCTTGTTTCATATCCTCAGACTCTTTGGCAGCCACAGGAATATCAGGAGATGCAGAAGTTGTTATTAGTTCTGACTGAGCATTCATAGAAGTTAGAACTTTAATGGTAGCACTTTTTCGAATTGTATGGGTAGATTCATACCAAGCTGCAGAATGCTCCAGCCTATAGCTTATCTAGAATCTTCATTTTCTCAGCCAAAGTCATTTTTCTGTTTTTCTTGCTGGTTGATAACTTGCATTTAGCAGACATAATGAGAGAATAAGATACTACAAATTGTAACAGATGACACAAAGGTTCATGTACAACAAAACACTAAAGCACAAGAGAAGCGAGGCATGGACTGGGAAACTGGATGCTGGTTGTAGCACAAATCTGCTCATGAAAGCCGTGGAAGAGCATAGATGTGAGAAAAAATACTAGATCTTGTGTGCAGGCATGCAGCCCAGAGGAATTATTTTCCTGGATCAACCCTAGGTTATAAAAAGTCCCCCCGGGATCATGGAATTTTTGGTTACATGTATTTTTCTATAAATATATAGTGAAACTTGTTTGAGGGGGGCTTACTGTAATTGATTTGAGTGCACAATAGCTACCTAACTAAAGGTGAGAAGTTTACTCTTAACACTGTATACAGCAAAATCATCTAAAAATCACTGGTCGTAAGTATAATTGAAATTTGTAAATCAAGAGGTTCACATTCACATTACACTCCTATAAATAATATTTTCTAGATCCTTCTCTGGAAGGGATTAGATCAGTGGTTCACAATCCTGATCTTGTGGTCTCCTGTGTCTTTAGGGTTCACTAGTTCTAACTGGAGCCTTAATCACTAGTGCTTTCTGTTTGGACTGTTTTCTGTACTCAGTCCTTGATTCAGAAACTACTCTAAAATGCATTATTTCCGGCACCTTCAGTACACAGAACTTTCTGCAGTTTGTCCTCAACTTGACAATTAAGAGTTTTCTCACTTATTTCTATCTGAACAGCTTTTAACAGTGATCAATGAATTATGAATACAATTGGGAATTATCCTATAAGACATCTTTAATAGTGAGTCTGTGTTTTTTAATTTTGCTTAAGTCCAGTTGGTTATATTTGTCTTGGCACATCTGAATGAGGACAATCCTGTAATTCACAAATTAGCACAGGTTCATGTACCATGCACAAATCTCATTCAGTTTTAATGGTAAACTGAAATGCTATTTTATATTTGGGGTTAGAAAGAATCAGCATGTAAAATGTACACAATAACGTTTAAAACCTCCAATTCAAATGACAAAATAGACACTTCCTAGAAATAGAAAAAGCAGGTTTTTAAATGCATCTTTTAATCCAATAGAACTATTTCCAGGGAGACCAGGGGTTTGCGAAAATGTGGCAATTTACATTCCTTTACAAATTTCATGATTTTGTGCTTAATTCAAAATTTGTAAAATGTTGCAATACTGTCAATTTAGTTACTGAGATTTAATAACCGGTCTGAGAAATTGGGACTATAGTTCCCCTTGAAGATCCAAAACAAAACTAATAATAAATTGTCAGATCGAAAATTGAAATAATCTAACCTGTGATTAAGTACTCAGCTGGTGCAAAAGCAGTAGACACAGGGCCACTCCAGGACCAGGATTTGAGAACCACTGGATCACACCCACTGGACTCTTCCATGTGCTGAGGTTCTGGCACTTCTGAAGGGGGGATTTATGATTGTTCTTCCACACAGAATTGCTCTGGGTGCTTCAGACCCTGTTGTTTTCTTTTGCCGTTTTTGAGTTACATATGTTCATGATGTATTGAATATCAATAAACTAACAGAATGATCAATTCCCTGCTGCACTGTATGACTTATTACAGGAAACAGGCAGTTTTATGTCGGGTATGTTATTTTCTACTTAAGATACTACTGGCATATTTTCCCTAGAAGAACTACATTGGCTTCTTGGACTTTAAAAAGGAGAGCATAAGAAAACTTGGAATGCGGGCAAACACTTGTTCTTTCAACCCTGGAGTTTTTGTTGCCAACCTCACAGAGTGGAAACAACAGAACATCACAAAGCAGTTGGAAAAATGGATGGAACTGAACGTGGTGTAAGTTTAAAACCCTCAAGAATGTAAAGTAGCGATGCTGTCCTTTCAGATTAAAGTAGCAATGCAGAATATTCAGAAGTTATAATATTGAAAACCTGCAGCGTTTTCCCCATTTTGTTTTTCTCTGCAGAGAACACCTGTACAGTAGAACCTTAGCTGGCAGTATTACGACTCCACCGTTACTAATCGTGTTTTACAAACAGCACTCCAGCATTGATCCCATGTGGCACGTCAGGCACCTTGGTAGGTTTAACTTTGTCCTACTGCTCTGACAGAGTGGTCATTAACCTTTCTTGTGGCCCTGAATAAGTTGGCATAACTTGATTTAATGTGTAATTTCACTTTGAAATATGTATGAATTTTATCCTTATATACATTTATCTAGATTTTCTTTATCCATTATCCTTATTTCTGGGACTTTGAAGCATATGGCAATCGATATGCTGATCCCTTCTATAATCCCACCCAGGACTCTTTGTCAGCTATCTTTATAATTATAGTGTATCTCTGCCTGTAAGATGTTTAAAAGGATGGTCTCCAAATTTCAGTGGCTTAACACAAAAAAATTTTCTGCATCTGCCATTGTAAGTCATAAGGTTATTATAAAAGCCACACTGACAGTACTTACAGTAGTAGCTGGAGATGTAAATGGTTGTTTTCTCGTCTTTTATACCTGTGCTCTATCTTGTAAGGTTTAGTTGGAGCTGGAAATCGTTATTCATCTCAGTTTATAAAAGCTGCCAAACTGCTACACTGGAATGGCCATTACAAGCCTTGGGGAAGGGCATCGGCTTTTTCAGAGATATGGGACAAATGGTATCTCCCGGACCCTATGGGAAACTTTCATCCTATACGAAGACACACAGAAGACTGATAAAACCTCTAGCAAGTTGGACTATGCATTGAAGCGCGTACTGCATGACTTCATTGTTTGTAAAATCTCAGGAACGTGGACTTAAAGTTATTTCAGTACTGTATTCAAAGGAACCATTTTCCATGCAACACTTTAGAGCTACGTTTTGCTAAATTGCATGGCAGTAGAGGAGGTGAACCAGAGCTTCAGTTTAAGAACTATATATACACACACATGTGACTGATTTCTAAGGGACTATTTCAGCTATAGAGTTGTTTGCCAAATTGTTTTGTATTTGTTGGCTCTTGCACTTTAACCTTTTGTAATGTAGTGTTAAACTAGTTTTGTACCCAGCTTTTAGGATTATGTGGTAAAAAAGAGCTTTCGGTCAGGTCACAGGTGCTATTCAAGCCTTTTTGTTTTGTCTTTCAATTTTTCAGAATTTTTTCAAGGATGGATTTCCATCTTCACTTGAAATGTAAAAGGTTGCATTTTAGAGATGAACACTTTAGAGAAATCAGAAGTGAGCAGAAGGCACCTATTGTGTATATTGTGTAGATGCCTTCCCTATAGCTACTATCTTTATTTTAAACAATGTAACCACTTATGATACCAAACATCACTTTTTGAGCATGAAAACAGCATGTACTAGTATGCATTCTGGATTAATAACCCTATAGCTTTGATATTAGGTTTTTCAGATTCATTAAGTGATGATTTAGGTACTAGATGACGTTAGTAAAGTAAAAGAATGTAATCCAGCTGTGTATCTGTTAATTAATCCAGTACAAACTAAAAGACCAATTTAACCCAAGACGTGTGAGCACACCTGTCCCCAGATAACAATAAAAGTACCCTTTAGTGTCAAGAGCTTAACTTGGTTACATTTTGAATGCCTATGGGAGTTAGGTTGTTGGTTCACCTCTGTTTTGGTAGAGGTAGATTTTTAATACTTTTTTCAACCAAGTTCAATAAATAAACTTAGGTTTTAAATTGCTTTATTTTCAAGTAAATAAAAAACAGATGTTAAGATATTTTCTAAATGTATTACAATGGAAGACCACTCGTATAACTTGTAAAACACGAGATTTTGAATGCCATTATATTTTACACTTTTATGTACAAGCATTGATGCAGTATATGTACAGATTCTATTGTTAGGATCAGAATTGCATGATACATCACACAATTAAAACTTAGTCAGTCTTTCATTCACAAGCATCAGCACATAACTGAAGAGGCTTATAAGAGTTAAATGTAAATTCAGTTAAAATCTATATTAAAGTCATACATATCATCATCTTGCTTTGCTGTAGAAATGTCCACCTGAACAGGAATCTGTGGCAACTGCTGTTGTGAAGGAACTCCTGTAGAAAGAGAGTGGCGTTGAGTACTCATAAGAGGTTATGGTTTCATTCTGCATAGCCTTTAAATTCAACCTCTGATTAATGCTCATTCCTACAGCCTCCTAAACCTACAGCCCGAATATTTAAAAAAATACTATTCATAACTGCAAACAGCAATATCAGTTAACACCATTAACACCAACAGTGCATCATTAAACTATACTTCTATCAGATATTTGAACTATTGGGGTTGTAAATGAGCTTGACATTAAATGAGCTAACCTTCTTTATAATCTCAAAGGATTTCATCTGCAGCCTGTGATTATGGTGGAATGAGGTCAATTGTTATCTAACAGACTGGAGGGCCATTTTCCACCTAGAACATCAGTACAAAGTGACGGTGATAATAAGTGAAAACTCAGATATGCACTGCTCAACATAGTCTATTAAATACCAATACACTACACAACTAACATCCATATTGCATCGTTTAATGGAGAGATCTAATGCAGAGATCTCTTGTTTACATTTGCCATGTGAAATATTCTACACAAAGCATGACGGGCGGACACGGTCTTCAGAAATCCTTCGGAAAAGTAAAAGGTTAATCTTTTCCTTCCCCTCTACTTTCCTATTTTCTAATTGTCTCAAACCATCAGCATGGAATTGGAAGCAGAACTGTCTGTTCAACAGAAGATAGGCAGAAAATGTTGAAGACTACAACGAGTATAGAAAGAATGCAGTGCTTCAGTTACAAAATTCACCCGTTATAAAATTCTTTGGTGGTTACTTACCGATTGCTTTTTTGTTTGATTTAGTCAAAGTCTTTGCTTGCAATTTTCCACTTTCTTTTTTCTCCTTCAAGCTCTTCTTGGGTTGAGGAACAATGTCAATGAATTCAAGCTAAAATGAAAAGCAGTTCTTGTAATACATCATGCAAATTACTGTAATCTAAATTCTGACTGACTAGGCAAAAATTCTGAATTTTCATTTCCAGGTCTGTACTTTTCTTTTTATGCCTTTTTGTAAGAAACAATATTATATATTACATTCTTAGATTGTAAATATTAAACACTATTAACAATAAAAAAAACTTATAGATCTCAGATACTTGCTCCAGTTGTGAGATCAGAGTTGGATCTGTAGTCTTCATCAATAAATCCAGACTATATAATATCCTCATTTCTCACAGCAAGCAAATGTCTTGAAATCCTCATAGATTTCAAAGTGCATAGAGATAACTCTGAAGATGCAATACCTCCTCTTCCTCCCCATACAGCTCAAAGTCCTCCTTCTCTCCCAGATCACTCTCATTTACAAGTCCGGATGTGGCTCCTGGGGAGAGGTACACTACACTGCTGGCCAAAGTGGGACATTTCACACCTGTCAAACAATTAAGGTTCACATCAGTTCCTAAAAATATGCAAAACAAATGATTACTCAATGTCTAAATTAACTATTCTCAATTGTTACATTTTCAGAATTGCACTTTTTTAGTTCTTAAATGTAACATTTTCATATAAAAAATAATCATATCATATCTGCACAAAAGTAGCCTTTGGATGTGAACTCACCAGCAATGGTTGCCATGTTCCCTTTCTGCAGCTTGTCCCTTTCCCAGGACTTCTGCATCATTGCCACAACTGTGTCAGAGAGGTAAAAGGGAAGTTTGTATTCTTCTGGTGGTTTAGAGTGGTAGCTAAGTTTAGCCCTAAAAATGCAAAATAAAGTTAAGCATACAAAACATCAAAACAAAAGGAAAACTGAAACCACATAATCTAGGTGAGGACTTATTTTCAGTTTGCTTTCATTCTGATCAAAAGTTACATTTTTTAATGGCTTAGCAGTATGCACATATTACTAGTTGGTACCTACAGTAAATCCATTTCAGCCTCTCTGTTGTAATTATTTCTACGAACTAATCTCTACAGAAAAAGTCTTGCCCTCACTAAAGTCATGGATGCATGGAGCTGGACTACTATTTCCTGTGCAGAATCCATTCAATGTCCAGTTTACAAATTACACTGCTGTATGTAGTGAGATCAGAGTTGGATCTTATGTGATTAGGGTTATCTCAAGACATGCTGGATTATCCTCACCTCTCACTCAGCAAGTTCTTTGTAAACATGAGTAAGTTAAATGTAATAGTCGTTCTGAGTCTTACCCAGTCCAATCACTCAAAAATGTTGCAGCAGCTTTCTCCATGTCTGGAATACCACCTTTCTGCAAAAAACCTCTTTTCTTTGCAAAACATGTCAAAAATTCCAGGGAGTTCCTGAAGTCAGGGACTGTATATTGAAGCATTATCTAAATGAGGGAGAATAATCAACAAAATCAATTCAGAAATTGTTTGCTTTATCTAACACAGGATGAAGATCTAGTCCAATTACTGAGAGGACAATATCAGAGTTGGATCTTTAACAGTCATGAAAGACTGATAAGAATTCTCCTCACTTCTCACTCACTGATCTTTCAAACATATTATCTGCACATATTCCAACTTAAATCTTAAGTGCAAAAAACACTTAAGCAAACACAGTACACTTCAGTCTCCACCTGCTCTTTTACCTGCTGTTTATTGCAGTTCTTCAGTAGGGATGCGACCGCATCTTGTGGATTTTGTAGCTGGTGAGTCTCTGACAGGCCTCTCAGTGCCACAGCTGCTGTACAGCTAGACGGAGCCACGATGATACCAGGGCTGTCAATCATCTTGACATGATTACTGATGTGCACCTCCTGCATGCACCTGTGGAGTATTAAAAACAGGTCAATTTTACTGTGTGCCTGCCTATCAATTATGAAGCTCTCAAAGTGATACAATAAAATCTACATCATTGTAGAGCCATTACTCTCCCATGACACTAAATACAAATGTCGAGGTTAATGAAGCTCAGTGTTGGATTGAACATAGACTCCATGGATGAGTCAGAGCAAAAATGTCATCATGCTTCATTATCAACCCCCATTGGTCAAACCTGAATACAGCAACAAAAAATTATCTGAACTAAAAAAGGTTACACAATTTCCTGTGTTTAATCAGATTAATATAATTTACTCCCTCTTCCCAAACAGAGAACTTACTTTGTAATCCCTCTTTGTACTCCCACATTGCAAACAGGTACTCCCCTCATACTGTTGATCAGGCTGCTTTTTCCCACGTTTGGAAAGCCTGGGGAAAAATTGAAATATTACAAAAACAGAAGAAAAAGACATCACTGCTGCACTGAAAAGCACAGATAATGGTGTTGGATTAGAGGTCATTTTAAAAAGTCTCCATTTTCACGTATCACACTGTAAAATTAACGAAAATGTGCAAACCAGTGGTACAGGCAACAAAGTAACATTACAAAAATTGTTCGCAGTTCACAGAATGCAACAAAAGATTTGGCCAAGTGGCCTAATATTGGAACAAATAGGTCTCTGAACATCATACCAACAATGCCAACTTTCACTGTGTTCCCCTGCTTGTGTGTTTGACAATAGTCTTCAAGAAGCTGTAGCAGGCAGGTGTTCCCCACACAAGTGACCCCTCTAGTTAGATCAGTTACTCCATTGTCAGCTCTTTTCTTCTTTTCCTGCTATAAAATTCAAACAAAAGGAGAAGACAATCAAGAACATCTTGCTCATTTCCTAGTATGGTAGCTAGGTAAACTTAGTTACCTCTTAAAAGTGCCCAGAGTTTGCGACTCAAACACCTCCAAAGAAAACCTTTTTCAGATTCGCCCTGCTCTTTAAATAAAAAAAAGTGTTTCTTATTTTCTGTCCAGAAATGAATTTCTCTTAAGTTTCAAATTGTAACTTATTATGTTAACTTATGTAACTTATATGTCCTTATTTCGCTATGTAATGCGAAATCCTAAATAAGACAACTTCTTACCACGGTTTTGTCCTGAACCCGAGTTGATGACTTGAAGGCTACAGTAGGAAACTCAAGCTGTAGACACTGCAGCCATTTCTCCACATTATCTTTCGGTACCAGATCTAAGGATAAAGAAGATCCCAGGATATGGAATTTCACTTTTACAAGCCAAGAAAAAAACAGCAGTATTATTTTGTTCACAATAATGGATGTTAACTTAAAACAAGAATGGGAAGCTGCAAAAATTTCTTTTGAAGAGATCTGTGACTAACCGATTTTATTCAGCACGAGGAGAAGCTGCTTCTTCCCTTCATGCTTTAAAACGTTTTCTTCCAGCTGTGGGCATCGACACCCCATGGGATCTCTGGCATCCAGAACTTCCAAAATTACATCTGAAGCATCGATGACCTGAAGGGAGCAGAGGTGGACTCGTCAGCACAGACCACTCTGAAAAGCTCACTAGCTCAGCAAATATGGGCGAAGCGGTGGCTCTTTGGCTAAGGATCTTGCTTGTGACTGGAAGGTTGCCGGTTCAAATCCAGCGGCCGGCAGAGGAATCCTACTCTGTTTGGCCCCTGAGCAAGGCCCTTAACCCTAACTGCTCCAGGGGCGCCGTACAATGGCTGACCCTGCGCTCTGACCCCAAGCTTCTCTCCCTGTCTGTGTGTCTGTGTCTCCATGGAGAAAAGCTGGGGTATGCAAAAAGACAAATTCCTAATGCAAGAAATTGTATAGGGCTAATAAAGAAACATTACATTACATATAATCAGCAAATGATCACTGAGAACCACCTCACTTTCCACAAGTCTCCCTCACCTTGTTCAGCTCTCTGCACAAAACCTTTCTGGAATTTCTGTCTTTGCCTTTTGTGAGTTTCCCGGGGGCCTCCTGGAAAAAACCACATTGTCACATTGATGGAAGACAGTGCCCAATAAAGAGGACAACACATAATACAGTGTTAAACCTGACCCTTTTGCTTTTTTTAACTGGGACATCTGGGTCATTACTGGCAACTTCTAGTTTTCTTTTCTTCTCACGCTCCTTCTTTTTGGTAAGCTTCTGTTTCTCTTTAAGTTCTTCAAGCTAAGCAAAAGAGAAAAAAAAAATCCAGGAACCAATTGAGTATACATATTTTGCTCCATGAACAAGGTGACCATTGAACAGAAAAAGTTTATTTCGCACACCTAAAGAAGGCTCCACAGCCGAAATGTTGTGTCTCTTTTTCACTACGGAATAAGCCTTTATCTGTTCCTTTGCAGCCTATGCAACCTACTTGATTTTCTATAATTCATTTTGTATCATACTGGGCTTTCATTTAATGGCTTGCTGTAACGGGCTAATTACAACTTTACCCAAAACATTTTGAAACTAACTTAAAACATGTAATACTTGTCTTGGTACTTAAGCGAGTATATTAGATATTAAGTATATTAGATAAAATATATTAGATATTAAGTATATTAAGTATATTAGATAAAAGTGAGTAATCTTGCCTTTAGCTTCCTCTGCTCGGCCTCCTTCAGAATGTCTTCTTTAAAAGGAGCGTTGTTAGGTACTCCAAGATCTTTCTTAGCACGTTTTGCTCCTTTCTTCTTTGCCACTTTCCGTAGCTTCCTGTTGTGTTCGCGAACCTAGAATAAGAATGAAATGTATTAAACCAAATATTGTCTATGGCCGTTCATTCTAGATAAAGAATACAAATAGCCAGCACACCGGGAGCGTGCATGACAAGAGAAACGTGATCTGACGGCCTTCATTAAAATAACTAAAAATCTTCAGAAAAGTAATAAAATATAAATAAATGTGCACCTACCTTTTTTTGGATTTTGTAACGCTTGGCACATGATAACCGTTTACTTGCCTTCTTCAATTCTGTAAAACACACAGTCAGTTGAGCTCTGGTAGGACTTGAAAAATCACATATCTTTAACATAGCCATTTATTATCAGTCTTATTTACAGTTAAAATTACGTTCAACTTTAACATCATGTACATTGCAGAAAGATCTTAAGCAAAAAGTTAAACGAAAATTTAAACGCTGTTTGAAGAACCAGATATATATATATATCAATCAACCATTCAACTTGTTAAGCAAATATCATTTTAAAAGGGATACACTTCGTAAAAAAAAGAACAGGATTTATAAAAAAAATATAGCGTGTAAAACTACAATATTAACACATTTACACATACTCGGTCTCTTCATTTTGAGTCCAACGCGAACACGTGCTCAACTACTGCTCTACTGCAGAAACATGTCCGACTTCCTGATCCGGTGTGCGATTGCTGGGGAGGAGTCACTGCTACTGGCTTTGCTTTCCTTCGCGTTTCCTGTTTTGTTAATTGAATAGTTTAACAGTTACATTTTTAATCGGCCCATTTTATTTACGTTTGTTAGATAACAGGTAAGATCGATAGAAGTCTTCGTCATCGTTTTGTATTTCAAAATACACGATCAGATGCGAGTATATTCGCATTTCACGGTGTTAAACTGCTAAACAGTCGGCCTTTCCTTTGTCTTTGTTACCGATGTGTAGCATTAGCCCAAATGCTGAAATTGTGTCTTCGTTTTGTCATATGTAGTTTACGATTAACACGTAAACGCGCGAGTTTTTTTTTAGATTCTGAAAAAAAACTGCTTTTCTAAAATTACCTCAACCATGCAATAATGTAGATTCTTGTATTCCTGACGTACGAATATAATGTGACTCGCCAGTGTAAAATCCAAATGGTTGTTTTAAATGTATATTTTTAATTTAAATTTTAGCATTTTATTTTTACTTCCAAACACAATCATATACACAGGCCGCGTGCTCTTTATTTTCATGCTGTACATAGTTGTAGTTAACATTTTTTTTATTACAGTATTCTACATGTAGAAGAGTTTTTCTCGATGGATGTGAGCGTGTTTCTGTAGCTGTCAAAACCGCGTTTGAGCAACTTACATAGAAACTCTTGTATACAGGAATAGGTTGACGCTTGTGTACAGTAATGAAATCACTTTCTCACAGAGGTAAGAGACCTCAACTTTTATGTTTTTTTTTCTTATTCACTGTTTTTGATAGCATTCGCTCACTGTTTACCATTGAAACAGTTTAATTTCTCAGTTAATTCTGAGGTGTCAGTACTCGCTTTTTACCAGTACTGTATTTTGTTGAAAATTTACAGATTCGGACTTGGTTTGAGCTTGCATCAGTTGTGAGTTTAGGCTAATTTTAATGAATGGAAGATCCGCAAATATGTTGCATCTGTCAGCTCTTCGTGTGGCTAGCCGATAAAAGATAGATCTAAACACTTTTTTTTCTACCTTGTTACCCAAGAAACCATAAATATTACATGTACCCTCTGTATGTAATTCGTGATTGCTGTGCATCAATTTGAAGGTGTTGCTACTATGGGGTCCAAAAGGAGAAGGGCGACTTCCCCTTCCAGTAGTATAAGTGGGGGGGACTTTGATGATGCGCAGACTTCAACCCCAGGTCCTGGAAGCAGCAGAAAAAGGAGAAGAGCTTCCAATATTCCTACTGTAGATCCAGTAAGTGGATTTCCAAGTATTGTTGCGCCTTTACAAAGAGACAATGAGCACAGCAGGCGGAAAAAGGTGTGTCTTACATTCAATAGTCTAACCTTGTATAGCGCATAAGACTTAATGGGGTCAGTTTTAATGTTCTAAATCATACCAAGTCTAGAGATCACTCCATTAACCCAAAACCTGATGTGACAATATGTTTTATTTTTTTATTCATTAATTATGATTGGAACTTTATCAAATTAAATATTGGAAAAAACTAAAATGGAAATACATCATTTGAGAACAGAGATTTTTGTTAAATACATGGTTTAGATCATGAAAAGTGACCCCACAGTTGTTAGCATTTCTCCTCCAATTCCCCCTAACAGTCCTGGCTTTTGTTGACAGTCTTGGCTTTGCTTTAATTTGATCTGCTTTCAGGTTTCCACTAATGAAGCTGATGCCAAACAGTCAGGGGCTCTCAACCTGTTCACTATTGAGAAATAGCCTTACAAATGTGATGCACAGCGGAAACACTGTTGCTGCCTACTTACCTTCCAAAGTCTGTGTATAATAAAACAACTGTGCTTTTGGCACATTGAGACTTCCCAATTTTATGAGCTGTAGGTACAATTACATGCACCGAAGCTGATTACACAGATTGAGAGCCCTTGAGTTAAGGGGTGAATTGGGTCATTTCAAAATTACACTGCTGTTGTAACTCGCAGTATAAGAAATGGCACATCATTTACTGGCTTCTGTTAAATGTAGACTTTAAAACCGTTTCCCTATGTTTTTTGTATAAAACACAGTAGATATAGTTTTTTGGGGAGTAAGAAAACATTGAAACATTAATTGTTAAGTTCTCTGCACCTGTGAACCTTACTCATAAGGTTATGCTCCACTTCCTTGCGACCTAATTTTTTTTTATTTGGAGCTATAATCAGTTTAATTACTTGCACAAGGTATATTTTGTGACTTTGTGATGTTTTTTTTGCTTTTTATGCACAATCAGAAAGTCCTTTTAAGTATTAGTATTTCTTAGAGTTTTACAGTATGTGTCTGTTCGCAGATTGCAGTGTGCCATGAACTTTATAACACGATTAGAGATTACAAGGATGACCATGGGAGACTGCTGTGTGAGCTCTTTCTGAGAGCACCGAAACGAAGGTAGAAGCTTTACTCTTGCTGATATTGCTGGCTTAACTGCCTATTTTAAATGCATAACGTGCCAAGTGCCAAGGAAGTTTCTCTTAAGTAACATAAATAATATGAAGTGTTACAGAAAAACAACCCAAAAAGCATTTGTTCTCTGCATAAATTGATCTTTCCAAAAACATTATTTTCCTAATCTAAGGAAGCTTCTTGTTTGATTTTCAGTCAATGAAACTTGGCTCATTTTATTATTTCATTTATACTGTGTAAGGTGGGTTAAGTAGAAATATGTACTATTATTATTATTATTATTATTATTATTATTATTATTATTCCTGTTGTTGAGTACTACAAAAATAGAAATATTTTCTGTGCAGATTTAATAAGAATAATATTGCTTACACTTATATAGCGCTTTTCTGGACACTCCACTCAAAGAGCTTTACAGGTAATGGGGACTCCCCTCCACCACCACCAATGTGCAGCATCCACCTGCATGATACGCTCACCACACATCAGCTATCAGTGGGGAGGAGAGCAGATTAATGAAGCCAATTCAGAGATGGGGATTATTAGGAGGCCATGATTGGTAAGAGCCAATAAGAAATTTGGCCAGGACATCGAGGTTACACCCCTACTCTTTTTGAGAAACGCCCTGGGATTTTTAGTGACCACAGAGAGTCAGGACCTCGGTTTTACGTCTCATCCGAAGGATGGCGCCTGTTTACAGTATAGTGTTCCCGTCACTATACTGGGGCATTAGGACCCACACAGACCGCAGGGTGAGTGCCCCCTGCTGGCCCCACTAACACCTCTTCCAGCAGCAACCTTCGTTTTTCGCAGGAGGTCTCCCATCCAGGTACTGACCAGACTCACACCTTCTTAGTTTCAGTGGGCTGTCAGTTCTAAGTTGCAGAGTGTTATGGCTGCTGGCCAAACAAGATTTGAACAAGATTTGTTATTGTTACAAAAAGATGGTCTCAGTGTGTTTAAGTGGAGCTGTCTTTAATTTTCCCTTTTTTTGCAGAAACCAGCCAGATTATTATGAAGTAGTCACACAGCCCATAGATCTGATGAAGATACAGCAGAAGTTGAAAATGGAGGAATATGATGATGTTGAGCAGCTAACTTCTGATTTTCAGTTGATGTTCAACAATGCAAAGAGTTACTACAAGGTACAGTTTAGGAAGAGTTCTTCTGAAGAATTATTGTTATGTATTTTGTCTATGAATGGTTTAACCTTAAATGTTTCCTAGGTGTAATGAATTTTGTGATGGTCTGTGTGTGGTCTTGTGTTATAATACCTGAATGGTTTTCAGGATGTGTTAAAATGAATTTTGGCTTTTTAGGCCGATAGCCCAGAGTATAAAGCTGCCTGTAGACTGTGGGATCTGTACCTGCGCACAAAGAATGAGTTTGTTCAAAGAGGAGATTATGAGGAGGAAGATGAGGATGGAGAGGACACCCAGGAAAATCCAGGAACATCTACAGAAGAGGAGGTGTGAGGATCTGTGGTGTGGGAGGCAGTGGGCAGTGCACTCAGATGTGACAGAGTCTCTGTTGGGGGTAGGGCGGGGGGATGTGCAAATTGGACAAGGCAGAGTCTTTGTTGGGGGGATTCTGACAGCCATGGGAGAAAGGAATGTTCAACAACCTGAAAAACTGTAATAAACGCTGCACTTGACTTCTTCTCTAATGTAAGTAAATGAAGTAAAGAGTGAGAAACAGTGGACAGCATATTGGTATGTAGGGATAGTAAAAAATGAAAAAAATATTTTTTAAAGGTGATTGACAAAGAGGTCAACTTAAAATTGTTAACAAACTTCATTTCTGTGTCTGCCTTGTGAGTGGCATTTGTGAGATAGCTACAGTTGCAAGAAAATGTTTGTGAACCTTTGGAATTCCCTGGATTCCTACATTAATTACTCATTAAAATGTGGTCTGATCTTCAAATAAGTCACAATAATAGACAAACAGCGCCTGCTTAAACTAATAACACACAAAGAATTGTACTTCTCAATATTGAACACATTGCTTAAACATTCACAGTCCAGGCTGGAAAAAGTATGCGAACTCTTGTATTTAGTAACTGGTAGAACCTGTTTTAGCAGCAATAACCTCCACCAGATGTTTCCTGTAGCTGCTGATGAGACTTGCACAACGGTTAGGAGGAATTTTAGACCATTCCTCCTTACAAACCTGTTTCAGTTCATTGATATTTCTGTGATTCCTTGCATGAACAGTTCTCTTCAGGTCATGCCACAGCATCTCAATTGGGTTGAAGTCTGGACTCTGATTTGGCCATTCCAGAACACGACTTGTCTTCTGCTTCTGTTGTTAATTTACTCAGCTTCAGGTGACGGACTGCTAACCTAAGATTCTCCTGTAGAATTGCTTGATACAGTTTTGAATTCATTGTTCCTTCTATGCCTCAGGGCAAGCTGTCCAGGACCTGAGGCAGCAAAGCAGCCCCAAACCATGATGCTCCCTCCACCATGGTTCACGGTTGGGATGAGGTTTTGGTGTTGGTGTGCAGTGCTTTTTTTCCTCCAAGGGTTGCACGTTTCTGCCAAAGAGTTCAACTTTTGTCTCATCCATCCACAGAACATTGTCCCAGAAGCGTTGTGGAACATACAGGTGGTCTTTTGCAAACTTGAGATGTGCAGCAATGTTTTTTTTGGAGAGCAGTGGTTTCCTTTGTGGTGTCCTTCCATTAACACCATTCAGTGTTTTTCTTATAGTAGACATGAACAGAGACTTCGGCAAGTTTAAGAGATTTCTGCAGGTCCTTTGCTGTTACCTTAGGTTTCTTGTTCACCTCCTTCAGCATTGCAAGCTGCACTCTTGCCATGATCTTTGCAGGACGCCCACTCCTAGGGAGAGCAGCAACAGTACTGAATTTCTGCATTGGTAGAAAATTTGTCTTACTGTGGATTGATGAACACCCTGGCCTTTAGACATGCTTTTGTAGCCTTTTATGCATCTCTACAATTCTTCTTCTTATAAGGTCCTCTGATATTTCTTTTGATCGGGGCATGGTTCACGTGAACAGTTCTGTCTTGAGAATAGCAGACTCTGTCAGTTACCAAGCTTTGTGTGCTTTTTTTATAAGGCAGGGCACCTCCAACCCACAGCTCCAATCTCATTTTATTGATTGGAACACCTGACTCCAAATAGCTTTTGGAGAAGTCATTAGCCTTGAGGTTCACATACTTTTTCCAACCTAGACTGTAAATGTTTAAACGATGTGTTCAGTGCTGACAAGAAGAAGTACAATTGTTTGTGTTATTAGTTTAAGCAGGTTGTGTTTGTCTATTATTGTGACTTAGTCTAAGATCAGACCACATTTTTATGAGTAATTAATGCAGAAATCCAGGTAATTCCAAAGGGTTCACAAACTTTTTCTTGCAACTGTATAAAACATTTTATTGGGGGAATATGTTTGAATTTATTTTTATACTCTTTTGAGCTGAATAGATTTTGTCTGTTATGTTTTTTTTCCTGGTAGACTGCATCAAACAGTCTGAAGGAGGTTCTAGAGCAACTACTTGAAGCTGTGGTGACACACACAGAGCCGTCAGGACGTCTCATCAGTGAACTCTTTCAGAAACTGCCCTCCAAAGTGGTAAGATGCTGTACATTGGGCTCCCACTAATCACACTAATGATTAGTGTGATGATGAATGTGATCTTTTTGAACCAGAATTTAATATAACCCTGTTTTTTATAGCACTACCCAGACTATTATGCCATAATTAAGGAGCCAATAGATCTCAAGACCATTGCTCAGAGGATACAGGTATGTAAGAGCCTGGTGAGAGTTTTCTGATACTTAGTTTAACGTGTCAGTGATGGACATTGATGAACAAGTCAAAGTTAATTCCACACTTAAAAGTAGAAAGAAAGAAGAGACATTTTGGCTGATGAGTATTGTGTTCACACTTCGTGTTCTTTCGACTTTTCAGTGTTTAGTTAAGATCTACTTGTTACTTTGCTCCCTGAACACTGACACAGCTGCCCATTTAAGATGGGCACATTAATTCTTATTGAAAGCACAGCCTTTGGTTAGGGGGAGGGGAGCAGTGGCACTGTGGCTAAGGATCTGCGCCTGTGGCTGGAAAGTTGCTGGTTCAAAACCCGCAGCCGGCAGAGGAATCCTACTCCGTTGGGCCCCTGAGCAAGGCCCTTAACCCCAGCTGCTCCAGGGGCGCTGTACAATGGCTGACGCTGCTCTCTAACCCAAAGCTTCTCTCCCTGTCTGTGTCTATGTGTCTTGGAGAGCAAGCTGGGGTATGCGAAAAAACGAATTCCTAATGCAAGAAATTGTATAAGGCTAATAAAGTGATCTTATCTTATCTTTGTTTATGAATGTTTTTTGTATTGTGGATAACAGTGGCTATGTTACTTTCTAGATGGGACACTATAAGAGTGTGACTGCAATGGCAAAGGACATAGATCTTCTAACAAAAAATGCCAAAACATACAATGAACCAGGATCACAGGTTTTTAAGGTTTGTAGATTTTTTTCTCAAAAGATTTATTTTCTCATTATATTAAACTTTGTACTTAAGCTTATGCTTAGGTACAGTAAGTAGTATGGTATTTAAAAAGCAGATTTTAACTACATTTATTTAAACTGACAGTGTACATATGATTTCTTTTAATGCTCTTTTCAATATATTGTATTTATTCTGTTTTTTTTTAATACAAGGATGCAAACAATATAAAGAAGCTCTTCATTCAGAAAAAGGCTGAACTTGAGCATGCAGAACCTACTAAATCAAGTATCCGAATCAGGTATAACATAATCGCATTCATAAATCTGATGCAGGTTTTTTAAAGACACTGTGAGTGCCTTTGTCTTACATTCCAGTAATGCTGCGTGAGATGTATAGATCTCTGACTGGACGATAGGTGGATCCATCTAAGACTAATCATGTGTTTGACAGAAACAGGAGATCTGCGCAAGGAGACCGATTGTCAGCTATTACCATGGCCTTGCAGTATGGCTCAGAGAGCGACGAGGATGCCCTTCTAGCTGGTAAGAAACACCTAACACCTTTCTGTGGAAGAGCATCATCAGGCTCCATGATTCTCTGAAGTTCTAGTTTCCACTTCTCTTTAAAATGTTCACAGTTTATGCTCCCATATTAATTAATAACATTGTTTTTTGTTGGGATTCAGTATATGCACTTACTGAAACACTTACATTTTTTATTTTTTTAATTTAGTTTTTTAAATTCAAATAAGGTATTGTAGAGATTTACATGTGCAAGGGCCATGTAATTGTTACGGCAAATGTTTTTTGGTCTCTCCACAGGAGCAGTGCGGTACGATGAAGTGGAATCTGAGGCAGAGAGCATAAACTCCTGCATGAACATAAACAACCCCATTTTCCAGCTGTATGAAGCAGTGCGGGGAGGTCGCAACAGCCAGGGACAGCTCATCGCTGAGCCTTTTCTTCAGTTGCCTTCCAAAAAGGAATATCCAGATTACTTTCACCAAATAAAGCAACCCATTTCCCTCCATCAAATAAGGTGTGCATGCTAATGTGCAGCGTCAGTAGTATTTCTCAAAATACTTAGTGTATTTTTATTCATTTGTTAGTTGTCTACAGTTTGTACCTTTATATTAAATCAGTAAAGACCTCTTAATGTGTTTTTTGTTTAAGATTTTATTTCCTTCATATAAATAAAATAGGAAATGTATTCAGGCTTTGCAGTGACATGAAACATTTCAGATAATAGCACAGGAATGGTGTGTAAATGTTAATGTAAATGTTAAATGTTGGTAATATAGGCATTGGAAGTGCTGTATAAGGCTCCTAAATATTGTCTGTTTTCCGCAGAAACAAGATGAGGAATAATGAATATGAAAGTGTGGACCAGATCGATGCAGACCTAAACTTGATGTTTGAGAATGCTAAACGGTATAATTTGCCCAACTCTGCTATCTACAAACGTGTTATGAAACTGCAGCAGATCTTGCAGGTAATGTTACAAACTAAGCAAGTGGGCTTTGAGACAGAACTTAGTGTTTAAGCCTCAAAATGTATTGTGCTCAGTTTTGTTTCTGCTAAATGATTCTGTCTAAATAGGTCTCCCTTCAATTTTATAATAGGACTGTTTCCTTTTTATGTGTGCTAGCTGTTTTAAAACATTTGTCTGTTTTAGAAGTGCATATTATTGCATCAGATGCTCACAAATTTCAACCTTAAATCTGATACCAGTGAATTTCAGTAATTGGATCTATTCTGTTCTCCTATAGATAGCTGTTTAGTATTCTATTTTCAATAATTCTAAAGATGTTTTAGTTTACTTCAGCGTATGATTTCCATTGCTTTCTGTACATAGCAATAGTCAAAAGTGTCTTCTCATCTGACATGGAGGGGCCCCTCTATAAAATGTAGAGGTTGTCATGACAAAAATGGTGTGATTTTCAAATGTTTATCACTACCAGCGAAGGACACAATCAAGGATTCTCCTGCTTTTAAGAAATGTACTTTTTACAGATCATTCTGGTGTAAGTTGAGAGTATTTTAAATTTTCAGCTCTGTGAGCTGTTAGTGCAGCAGAGTTGCTGCTGGAGTTTTTAATGTTACTGCGCTGCGCTGAGCGAACGGAACTCCTGGAATATAATTATTTTCAGTTAAAAAGAAAGGAGCTGTCTAGGAGAGAGGAGGCTGAGGATGGAGACAGCATGCTGTCTTCTGCCACATCGGACACTGGCAGCGCGAAGAGAAAGAGGTACTATTTTTTATAGGTATTTTTTTAAATAGGTATTCTTTATCATAACTTGTTTTTGTCATCATGTACTTAGTACTTAGTGAGGGAACAACTTAGAAAAAAACAGCAGGATTGTGTTTCAACAAGCTAAAATTGTCTTGCTACCAAATATGCAAATTGGAGTTTAATCTAATTGAGTAACTCCAAAGTTGGTATTGTTCATAATTCAAAATATTTAATCAGAGCACTTGAATGATAATTCCTCTATTGCTAACTCACAGGTAAGGGAGAGGCAGTACGGCACTGATATATTCTTCCCTGGTACATGAAACTAGAGCCATGCTTTCAGATGAACTGAACTATTTGAAAGAACATTAATGCAATCATTTGAAGACATAATCTAATACTACCAAGTTTTTGTATGAGAAATATATTTTATAAATGGGGCTGTGAGTAGAAAAGATAAATCAGTGTAAAAATCAGTCAAGTCCCGACAACCGCTTGTTATGCAAGCAGATTTGAAAAGTATCATGAATAATGAAACCCCCTACAGTCAGTAAAACCAACTGTTATTCAGCACATGTGTTCTTGGTTTCTTCAGCACAACTTGGTTACATGTAATAATAAGGCAACAGGTGTAAACAAGTCAAATTCATACTTTTTACAATACAATGCACACAGTTTTTCCAACTCTATAAAGACATTTGCAATTGCGCTAGTACCAGAGTCCTGCCTTCAGCAGTCATAACAGTAGAACTTTCTCTAGAATCTAGAATCTAGACACAGAACAAAAATGGGAATCTGAATCCTAACAAATAAGAATCATGCCCAGGACTAACTTTCTATCTAGAATGGTTGATAAAGAAATGGGAACCAATATCACTATTCAAAATAATGCATCACCAACTAAAATCCTTTATCTTTCTACAATATAAGAAATCTGTAATTCCGTCAATATCAGATAGCAATCCTTTCATTTTAAGCCTCAAGTCCAGTTCTCCTCCAGTGCTCAGATTACCTGGACAGACTGTAGAAAGTTTCTTTCTTGTGGCCAAGTTACCTCTTAGTCACTCTCTCATCAGGAGATGATTATCCCCTGTGCTTATTGTATATGCTATTTTTTTATCCTCCATGCTCCTGCCTTGAGCCCTGCTTTGTACTTTGACCCAGCCCCGTGAAGACTGGCTTCATGACTTCACACAGAATGATAATTTATGTATTAGTAACACTGTTAGCTCACTGTTAGCTCACCTGGTCCTTTGGTCAATGTGCCCGGGTTCAAGTGAGTGGATCAGATAGACAGATAGAGTCTAAGGAAATGCTTAAACCGTGCTCATTGTATCACCCCTTTAGAATGAGAAAGAAAGAAACATCTTAGAAATTTCAAACATTTTGCTAATCCCAAAACTGTGACAATATTTTTTGATGATTCAGTTTTGCAATGTGTGTTTGTTAGCATGAAGAAGAATGCTAAGAAACACCGGTTGAAGATCCTGTATAGTGCTGTGACAGAGGCTCGAGAGGCTTCCACTGGCAGGAGACTGTGTGATCTCTTCATGGTCAAGCCCTCCAAGAAGGACTACCCAGATTACTACAAAATCATTCTGGAGCCCGTGGACCTGAAAACAATCGAGCATAACATCCGCTCAGATAAGTACCTCACCGAGGACGCATTCATGGAAGACATGAAGCTGATGTTCCGCAATGCTCGCCATTACAACGAGGAGGGCTCACAGGTATGTGTTGGCAAGTTCCTGCTTGAGGGGGTTTAAAGTGATAGATTTTTTTAATTAAAAAAACTTTTGAGGCTGGAAACCAAGAAACATACAGATGATTAGATTTTTTATCTGTACTATTGAAAGACATCTTTCTAAAAAAGAGCTCAATGAGCAGTTGAAAAGTGCTTACTGATTTATCTTCTTCATGTGTGGCATGGCAGTTAGAGTGCTTGAATGGCCTTTCTATGTGTGCGCTGCAGTTTATTCCTGCCTCCCAGGGGCATGCTGGCGAGATCAGTTCCCCCATGTGTGTACACACTGTGATGGACCCAGAGTGTAGTCCTACTTTGCACCATGTGCTTCCTGGATATACTCTAGGTTGCCACAGTCCTTTCACAGGAATAGGCAGCTTTCTGATGAAGAATGGCTAAATGCCCATCACCCCCTACAGATCCAATACCATTTTATCAGTAATGCAGTTACGAACCTCAAATGGCCAATATAATCTTGCATGAATTCAATTAAACACTTATTTCAGTGTGCTATTTTCATCATTGCATTTCAACAATTTATTAGCTCCTTGTTAGTTAAAATATTTGTGGTATTTCTTTCTGAACTTTTGGCATTGATCCCTGCGCAGAATAATTCAGGAAATTAAAATGCAACTGTATGGATTTGATAGGACCTTAACATATAATCTGATTTTTAATTATATTTATTGAATTATGAATATGTTGTGAAAATAAAGAGGTATATAAATAAAGTACATGTTGTGGGCTGTTAAATGTAAGCATAATCAGGTGTGTTAATTTGGTTTTGTTTTGTAAATGATGCACTGTTAAAGTTTGTCCATAGCAGGTACACTTCATCAACAAACAAAATTGGTAACAACTCTCAAATATCTGTTAGCCTTCTTAAACTGGAAAAATGGTTATCTTGCATTTCGTCAAAATTTCTTTCAAGAAATTCTACTACTGTTTTTTTGTATATTTTATTGGCATAAAAGATTTAAGGGACAGTGACAAAACATTCAACCACATGTAACTCTAAATATATTTTCTGAGCTAAAAGATAATTATCTGATAAAATCACCCAGAATACTTAATTCCAAAGCAGCAGATGAAGAACTTCACACATAGTAAATGTACCCTGGGAATACATCTCCTTTTTGTGTTCATGCCCATAATTATTTGGGATGATTACCAATAGAACTGTCTAATGAATTGATTGGTTGGTTATTGTTAAGTATAAGTGGGAATACAGATCCCCTGGAAAGTTAATTGTCTTGCAGTGTTAAAAAAACAAGCTGTGAAAAATATAGCCCAACCAATTTGCTGTTAACTGTGTTTGCCTCATTTCCTGTCTCAGGTTATAATGTCTTTAAACATTTTTTACCTTTGTGTGCTGTTTTTTGGAACATTTTCTTGAGAGAAACTACACTTTGTCTAATTTAAACTTTTCTTGTATGAAATGTAATTATTTAACAAATTTATTTAATCTGAGAAAGAACACAAAAGAAAAACAAATATAAATACGAACAGAAAATGGGAACTCACAGACAAAGAAAGAAATGGGAAGTGATAACTAATGGTTTTGAATATAATCAAGGGACAGACCACAGTGTCACAATTTTTGCACTAATAAAGTGTCATGTAGTGTTATCAAAGTAATAACTGATTTATTTTTATTGAAAAAGGTCTATAATGATGCCAACTTTCTGGAAAAAATACTGAAGGAGAAAAGGAAAGAGCTGGGACCGTTACCAGAGGATGAAGACATGGCTTCTCCAAAACTGAAAATAAGTATGTTTGGAGTCGTTAATGCATCTACTAAATAAATTACTTGCCTAAAAACAGAACATGACAAAACAAATAATAGAATAAGTCTTCAGAGATTTTCTTACAAATGTTTAAATTTACAAGTAAACAAAATCTATTATTTTAAAATGATTTTATTATAGATTTGTCAGGTCTAGCCTGATGCATGATTTACATTTCTGTTACTACTAACTAAATACTATCTGGTGCTTATTCAGCATACCTGATCATCATCTATTCCATTTTTTTAGGCAGGAAGAGTGGCATTTCTCCTAAAAAGTCAAAATACTTGACACCTCTCCAGCAGAAGCTGAACGAGCTGTATGAAGCTGTGAAAAACTACACAGACAAGCGAGGGCGCCGGCTGAGTGCCATCTTCCTGAGGCTGCCCTCACGTCAGGAGCTGCCGGATTACTATGTGACAATCAAAAAGCCTATTGACATGGAAAAGATCAAGAGCCACATGATGGCCAACAAGTACCAGGATGTGGACTCCTTGGTGGAAGACTTTGTTCTCATGTTCAACAATGCCTGTACCTACAATGAGCCAGAGTCTCTGATTTACAAAGATGCTCTTGTGCTTCACAAGGTCCTTTTGGAGACCAGGAGGGACTTGGAAGGAGGGGAGGAAAGTCATGTTCCCAATGTTACAATGTTGATACAGGAACTGATCCATAACCTGTTCGTGTCTGTGCTGAGCCACCAGGACGATGAAGGACGCTGTTACAGTGACTCCCTGGCAGAGATTCCGTCACGAGACCCTGGAAACCCCAACAAGCCTCTCTTAAATTTTGAGATCATCCGCAACAGCATTGAGAACAATCGTTACAGGAGGTTGGATGTTTTTCAAGAACACATGTTTGAGGTTTTGGAGAAAGCAAGAAGATTGCACAGGTAAAAATATTTGATATCACAACCCTTTTATCAAGCTTTATTGATACACATTCATTTTTCTTTACAGGTAAGTGACAAAGAAACATTAGACACCTCACAGTTTGCCATGTTCAGGGCCAAAGGATAGCTGATAATGGAAAAGCGCTAAATAGCAAGCTTGAATGCTCTGTGAATTGTATTGCAGGACAGACTCTGAGATCTTTGAAGATGCTGTAGAGCTTCAGCAGTTCTTCATTAAGATCAGAGATGAACTCTGCAAGAATGGAGAGATCTTACTGTCACCAGCCCTAAGCTACACGACCAAGCACTTGCACAATGATGTAGAGAAAGAGAAGAAGGAAAAGCTGCCCAAGGAGATGGAGGAAGACAAACTGAAGAGAGAAGAAGAAAAGAAAGGTGGGTGTGATCAAAGAGCCATTTTGAAAAGAAATACAACAGGAATACAGTAGTTTTAGGAAGTTGCTGAGTATAAAAAAAGTTTCTTGATGTTTTTTTTAAAACAAGCTCTAAATCCATGGTCTCCTTCTTGCCATTTCAGAAGCTGAGAAAAGTGATGAGCACTCCGGTGGGGGCTGGCAGTCTGGATTACAACGCACTTACAGTCAGGACTGCAGCTTTAAGAACAGCATGTACCATGTTGGAGATTACGTGTACGTGGAGCCAGCTGAGCCAAACCTGCAGCCTCATATTGTCTGTATTGAGCGGCTCTGGCAGGATGATGCTGGTAAGTCTTTGCGTGATAAATGCTTTCTGCCGTTTTATCTTGACAAAAATGTATTGTTAATGCAAACTTAATAACCATTAATGTTTTGTCACAATGCAGGGGAGAAGTGGCTGTATGGTTGTTGGTTCTACAGGCCGAATGAAACTTTCCATCTGGCTACACGGAAGTTCCTGGAAAAGGAGGTTTTCAAGAGTGATTACTACAACAAAGTGCCTGTTAGCAAAATACTTGGGAAATGTGTAGTGATGTTTGTGAAGGTAAATGTAGTTGCATTCTGCGTTTTCAGAGAGATGCCCATGGTATTCCATTAGTACACATATATGTGTTTATAAATGGATATACATATATTTATACAGTATATAAGGTTCTGTCAGTTGATTTAGCTTGTTTCTTTTTAATATGCTTATTTCAGTGATTGACTATCCTTTAGAAGTTTGTCATTTTTCCTGTCAGACAAATGTATGCAGCTCAGTTCACAGTTATAATGACACTTCATTGGAAGAGTATTGGGTTTTCTTGGCAGTAGGCAATTCAATTTATCGGTTATAGG